TCTCAGGTCACATGAAAGTAAAATCTGTGACATGGGAACGGGAGCGCAAGTAAATCTGTGACGTGGGATTCGCATGTAAAAGCGCAAGAAGTCCTCAAGAGTCACAAGTACGGCAGCGCAAGCTGCGCTGTCAGTCGCAGGAGTACTACGAGACCTCTGGCAAGAAAATGCATTTGTCGCTTGCATTCCCTGTGGTTGGCAAGGTACATTCACCCAAACATCGTTTGGTGTTACCAGGGCGAGGCGACAATGCAGCGGCTCCAGAAGCTGCGGAATGAAAACGAAGCCCCAGTTTCACCGAGAGAACGGCTGGCGCCGGCGCTTCGAGGGAACACCGCGTGAGTTGCAAGGATTTCGTTGCTTGAGAATTGAACGGGCTGCTTGGCGAAACAAATGACCAGTTACTTGCGGGGCAACCTCCGTGTGTGACAAATTACTTGCGGGGCAACCTCCGTGTGACTTGTGCTTGCCGGTGCCTTATGGGTTTTACACAGATTTTTTACTTGTGACATGTGCCGTGTAGGTTAGACTTGCAGATATTGGCGCTTGTACTTGCAAAGCAGGAGGCCCGACTCAGGACCATCCAGCGTGCTCGTTCTTACTTGTGAAGTGGGAAGCTGAACTTTTTTTTGCCGCTGACATGCATGTTCCCATGCACTCCCTCCATTGGTTTCTTCTTATTTTGTGGCGTTTTGGCTGTGTTTTTCTGGTCCCGCGCAAATTTACTAATTTTGCATTACTAGTAAATTTTACTAGTAAATTCTTCGATTTTAGTAAATTTACTAAAATAGTAAATTTACTACTTTTGCAGACTCAGGGTGTGGTTCCCTCGAAAACAAGGTTGGGCGACTACCTCCCGAACTACGAGGAGACCGCGGGCACCGTTGCAGGGCGGGAGGCGGCTAAGGAGTTGATGAGACTGCTCTCGTGCGATTTCGAGGGTCTGGTCATCAACTCGAAGAGAGTCTCGGAGTTATTCGAGGAACGTGTGCTGAAGGAGACCGGGCGTGAGGCTGGAAACTGGGTGAAAAGTGACCAGGCCATCTGGTTCCTGAAGGAGATCTCGGGCATGGAGAACGCCGAGATGTCGTGGAAGTTCTTCATTCCGACGCTCAAAGCTTTCCCGATAGGGCAAGTTGAGGCGATGCTCATGGTCATGTACGACGGGAATGGTGTCCTCCTCAAGGAGAGCACTAGGTTAGTGGCCGTTAGGCACACGCGGATCGGACGCGACATGAGTTACAGTGCCGTTAGGCAAAGGTACACCCAAGAAGATGCGCCTGGCGGATCTCTGATGTACGAGATGCATTGGAATGAACTCCCCATGGTGGGGTACGTCGTCATGAAGTTCTCGGACTTTAGGAAGGCGGTTCAGCTCCAAAGGATGAGGCGAAACGGAAAGGCCATGATCGAGATATTGATCACGAGGCCCGATGTGTACGAGACCATTGGAGATGGAAGGCAGGATGAGGGCCTGATCCCACTTGTGGGAACCATGGCGCCGAATGCCGAGGTATCGCCTTCGTGAGGCTACGAAACTACTCGGGTAGATACGTGGTGGTGATGGTGGACCTTCGGGTGCACTGGTCCTTGGTTGGACCTGTGTTTTTGACGAGGAGGAAGACCCTTGCGGTTCGGAACGAGATCCACATGGGGGCTTGGAAGGCAGCATACATGTACGATGATTACACGATAGTGTACCATCGGGCATGGGGCTACGGCGACTTCACCCCCGTTAGGGGAGAGCACAGGCGATCGCGTGAGGAGGTCAGGTTGAATGTGACCACCACGTTCTGTTTGAGGTGCGCGGAGATGACTCCAAATGGGATGCATTTGTGTCCTGGGTGTGCGCTCCCGGTCTTCTACCCGAACTTTATCCCCAACGCGGAGGAGAATGACTTCGAGGGGTGCCGCATCGTCCCGGAGTGGGTGAGGACCATGGGGCAGTTCAAGCCCAAGAGGATCCCCGCCGAAGTGGTCGGAGTCATCAAGAGGAACCTGATTTCCTATTCGATGGCGTCTGACCTGAGGATGACGGTGCAGAGCGGCATCAGACTGCCCCCTTATCTTGGTGAAGACAAGGGAGGAGTTGATACGGCGTGGGATGAGCTGGCGAAGGTGCTCTTCCAGTTCTCCTATGTGTCGGGGATTTCGGCCTCGGATGCGTTCGTGGAGAAGTGGGTGGCGAAGCACCTGATTATGACCAATCAAGTCGATAGATTTGATTCGGTCACGGAGTACTTCCGTGCTAACCCGAGGCATGCTGCTCAGTGGGGTAGGCGTATGACGACTTCCGTTAGGAAGTTCGCTCGTCATGATACGTACTTATCCTTCTACATCCCGATGGCGTATGTGATTGGCTCCGCGGCGGGTCATCTGACTCCGTTGTATCCGACCCATCGGAAGGACGTGGACATCCTGGCCAGCCATGCGTTGATATCGCAGCTCAGGGGGTACATGGTGTCGGCGACCGGGTACGATGAGAAGAAGAGATTGAAGGAGGCGATAGCCAAGGTGCAGAAGGCAATCAGTGCCGGGCAGTCGGAGCCTCCCGCTCCCTTCCGTGACCCATTCGTCTACGTTAGTGACGAAAGGGTAAGGACGGTCCTTGATGGTCGTCAACCGGAGCCATTGGACGTGGATATTGAAGGACTTCAATCGGTGCATCATGCTGCGCCGGGTCCTGGTACCAAGCAGGAGCCGGTCACAAAGGGCGGAAAAGGAAAAGGAAAGAAGGGAGAAAAGGGCGGTAAGGGCGGTAGTCCTTCCGGCCCACCACCGAAGTCGGGTGAAGTGCCAGGTAAAGGATCTGGGAAGGGCGGTAGCCCATCTGTCCCAAAGGCAAAAGCAAAGGATGATGCTGGACCAGCTCCGATGGAGGTTGATGCAGCAGCGGCTCAGCCGAAGAAGACTTGGGTCGCGATAGCGGTTGAAGGGGCCCGGCCGAGTGCGAAGGCTAAAATGACCCCGGTTCCAAAGGCCGAGCCAAAAGGAAAGGTCGCTTCAGTGTCTGAGGCGAAGAGTGCTCCGGCTCCAAAGGCTGAGGCTAAGGAGGCGAAGCAGGCCGAACCGAGAGTTGAGGTCAAGAAGGAGAAGGTAGGCGGAGACGACGCTCCTGGCGGTAGTCGGGGGTCGGCTGAAGGGCAGAAGAGAGAAAGGAAGTCCCGTTGGGATCCTGACGAGACTGTGAAGGAGTCAACGAAGCGAGAGGCATCGACGAGGCCTGATGACGTTGACAGCAGACCAGGTGCGGCAGCAAGAGAGGCTAGTGGAGATGATCTTCACTCCGCGCTTGGCAGATCTTCGGCAAAGGATGCGGTAGCGCCTTTGACGGCCTCCAAGGCGATGGCAAAGAAGCCTGAAGGCGGGGAGATCCGGTTGCAGTCTGCTGAGCGGGCTGCGGCGAGCCCGGTGGAGGGTCACTTCCTGGTGCTGCCTGAGGGTTCGGTGGTGGACGCTTTCGTCGATCTCCACCAACAGAGTGCTGAACAAGCAAGTCAGGGATTTCATCAGAAATGGTGAGGACGCGTCAGCACTGGAGGCTCTCAACCAGATCGTGACGAACTCTCGCTCTGGGAGGAGGCGTAGGGAGTCGGATGTTTCCCGTACTCCTTCTCGGAGGTCCGTTAGGACCGTGGACACCAGGGATTCCAGAGAGTCGAGGAGGCGCAGATACCGTCCGCGGCGCGAGGATGATCGAGACCGGAGGAGGGACGATGCTCGTGATCGTCGTGATGATGATTCACTCGATCGGGAGCGAGATCGAAGGCGAGATGATCGCAGGAGATCCGAAAGGGATCGTGATAGGGACCGTGCGCGGGGCGGACGTGACCGGAGGAGACGTGACGATAGCCGGTAGGCTGAGTCACGAGGATTGCGGCCGATAGGCTTGCGTCCATTCTCCAATGGTCGGCGCGGTGCGGAGGTGGTGATGTTCCTCCCGGACCGCTGAGGCGCGGAGGTCATGTCTCTCCCATACCGCTGCTGGGCTGCTGGACGTGTTCATCAGGAAGCAGTGTGAGTGAGAGGGAAAGCAAACTGATGGGGGGTTACTCCCGGGTTTGCGGAATTCAAGCATTTTTCAGGTACGCATGGTCAGGAGTACCTCTTGCCGTTAGGCGAGGGTACTAATGGACATACGTTATCTTTTTTTCATGGCTTCTGATAAGAATTAAACTTCTTGCATTGTTGATGCAAACAGTTGTGACCTAGTGTCGTCATGTGGACCTTTCCACAAGGTATGTTGGACAGCGTTACCCCGATTAATTCGGGGTGGTGGCGGGAATTTAATGCCCGGGATGTCGCGCAACTGCCTTTGTGGGTTTGCTCCACCGCTGACGGCGGTAGTGTCCAGCTGTTTGCGGACACATGCGAGCAGTTAAATCCTATCAGTAAATGGCACGCTCCACCCGTCATATGACGGGCTCCTCGTGAGGGGGGTGTGATTAGCCATGGTTAATATCATCATCAGGGACGTCGCGTTAGTGACCGACCTGTGGTGTTTTGGCTCAAGTTTTGGGTTCCGTCGCGCCTCGAATGGGCGTCGCCGAACCCCTGCGTCGACCGACGGCATCTCGGGGGAGAAAGAGACCTCGGGCCGCCGCCAGGTTGGTAGGGACCAGTCGTGCGGCCTGTTGTCGACCAAGGTTGCGGGTTAACCCTTTTCTTGTTTGGTTTGTTTTCCTTTGGTTGTTGTTCTCTGGTGTGTGGGAAACCCTGATCTTTGGGACCGGGGATTGGTTTGCTTTTGGGGAACCTTTCTTTTGTGGCTTGTTTACCCCAACTTACCCATTGCCTGGGCACAGGCTCGTGCCCGAATCACAGAATAAGAATAAAAGCCAAGACATAAAACACACAACCAAACAAGAAAAGCAGCTTCCCTTTGTTGGGCAAAACCGCTTCCACCACAAAAGAACATTAACAAACAATGACATAAAAACATAGAAACGTATTTAAAGCAACGGCTCCCAGTTTTCGCCCAATCAGCTCCAAAGCCTGAGGTACGTGCCGGAGGTCCGGGACAACCCTGGGAAGATCGGCATGCGCTTCACCGCGCGCCCGCGGCCAGGCGGGGCTGTGGGGGCTGTGGATGCTGTGGATGGCGGCGATTCGATTTTGATCTGGATCTATCTTTCTGGCCCCCTAAGTGGTGGGATGTCAGGCAGCGGTTGCCATTTGTGTGTCGCCCAAGCCGCTCAGCTTGCGTACGTTGCATATGATGCATAGGTTGCATCAGCCCCTCAAATTGGAGCATCCATGGTTTCTTGTTTGGACCTGATTTGTCTGGGCTCCTTAAAAGATCTCCATTTTGCAACCATTTGAAACATGTGTTTTTTTCAACACCCAAATAAAGTTGGAAACCACCATTTACAAGTTGCAATGTTCAGGTGTATACTGTAAGGATCCCTGTTATTTTACCTCACCCCCTAAGTGGTGGGTTAAAGGGAAACAAACCCCTTTTTGACTTTGATAACCCCTCCAGAAACCGTCAAAATCATGACCTGTGGATAGCTGCGAAACCGTGGTCGAATCCATTGCGAAACCGTGGTGATTCCTACGGTTTCGCACCACGGTTTCTGAATCCATTTCACGCATCAATCTTCAGAAACCCTGGTGTCTGATTCGATTCCCCAACGCAGATACCAACAAACAATGGTTCAAGCATCGTTTCAAAGTGGGGCAGACCGCCAACCAAATTTGCTGGTCGACTTTTGAGGTGCTCACGTCAGATTCATCTGGAGGACCCTAGAGGAAACCTCTGGATGAACCACTCTTTTGGGGGGGTCCCTGAAAAGACACACCCATATGAGCCACAATCAAAACCTGGGTAGATGAAGGTTAGTATACGGGGCAGTCCCAGCCGGAAATAGTTGCGGATATCCGGCTTTCTAATTCTTGAAGCATGGTTCTGGGATTACGACCATTTTTTTCTACCGGGTTTTGAGCAAGTGACTCATGGGTCTGAGGCTTTGCCCCCCAAACTGTTTCGGCGGTTTCGTTCGTTCCGGGCTAGGCTCCGATCCCGCGCGGTCCGCACGCCTTTAGGTGGTCATGCCTTGTGCTTCATTTGCGCTTGAAATGTGTTTACCCCTAACCCCGCCTTCTGGGTATAGTATGTATTTCGTTCATATGATGTTGCTTGCCTTCTGATGGTTTGTTCGGATTCATTGCTTCTTTCCATGTCCACAGGCTGCGCGAGACACCGTTCCATGTAAGCCTCTCTCGTTCCAATGTCACCTGAGCTCAACTGGGATCTGGGCCACTGGCCGACCAAACTTCGGAGCTGGAAAACAGCAGTCACTGGAAGCCGTGGGCCAAGGGAGGCATTTGCCAAAAGCTGGGCCGGTTGTGTGGCCAGGGTATGTGGCTTTCGCCCGCTTCCCAGACCGGTCTCAAAACCTGGCGTTTTGAGGGCCCGGAAAAAAAAAAACAACAATAATAATAATAATAGTAATAATAATAATAATGATAATAATAATACATAAATAAAACAACGGACGTGGGGCGTCGTGGGGGGTCTTTTTGGAAAACCGCTGGCATCGCTCCGGCCAGGCGTCCCGGTCCGGGACCGCGGCAAGAAGGCGCCGCCCTTCCCTAAGGCGCGAGGTCGGTTCGGTTCGAAGGTTCGGATGGGGTTGCGCTGGAAACCGGGGGGGGGGGTCCAGGGGGGTTCCATTGGTTGGGCTGGGTTGGGGTGGGGGGGGGTTGGGTTGGGGTGGGTTGGGGGGGTGGGGGTTGGGTTGGGGTGGGTTGGGGTGGGTTGGGGTGGGGGAGTTGGGGGGGGGGGGGGCTTTTTTCGGTCGCTTCCTCTCATCCATTGATTCTGTGTCGGGTGAGAGAGACCCCTGTTTAGGCGACCACAAGTCCACGGCTTCAGGTCTTGTCTTGTGGGGATCCAGAAGCCCACCACAGGGGGTCGGCCAGGTTGACCTTCACTTCTGGAAGTCGAGCCTCGGTTGGAAAACAACAATCAGATCCACGATCACACACACTCCCAGAGCTCCGTTTCGAACTTTCCCACTTTTTGGGTCGGGTTGCCATTTGTGTGTCGCCCATTCCGCTCAGGTTGCGTACGTTGCATATGATGCATATGTTGCATCAGCCCCTCAAATTGGGGCATCCATGGTTACGTGGACATGCAGATCCATATTCCACGACACTGGCGGCATACATGAGAGAAACAACACAAGGGCCACTCATGTCAAGTTATGAAACAATCATTACCGTGTACACGTGTTGCTATGTGTATGTCTTTGCATATGTAACACACATCTATAGGGTGTTTTTTGTTGGAGAGAACTCCTTATTGGTTTTGGAAACCACACGGAACACCGACGTTTCCAAGTTGGGGGTCCCCTAAAAACCCGCCATATGTGTCATGTTTCCCTATCAGCCGGATGCTCAGGATGCGCCAAAGACCGAGCTCCCGCCCATGATGGCCCGGAGCCCGGCAGCTCTCCGGTTTGGGGTGTGGGTCGCTTGATTTGAAAAACGGCGGACAGCCCCGGACGCAGAATTGCAAGCAACGAAGACGGGATTTGCGGGATTGTGTGACAACTAAATATACATATATATATATATATACATACACATGCACATGAGCATGAGTATATGCATCTACATATACATATACACATACATACACACTCATACATACACACACACATGCATATATACATACATACATACATACATACATACATACATACATACATACATACATACATACATACATACATACATACATACATACATACATACATACATACATACATACATACATACATACATACATACATACATACATACATACGTACGTACATACATACATACATACATACATACATACATACATACATACATACATACATGCATGCATGCATGCATGCATGCATGCATACATACATACATATATACATACATATATACATACATATTGTATATATATATGTATATATATATACGTTTTGCGCAGGGAGATAAACACATGGATTACTTGGGCCTCCAAAACGTAGGTAGAGATCAGGGGCTGTTTCCTCGCTCCGGATTCCTTCGAGTTGGGACATGCCCCAATCAAAATCAACCAGAGCTTTCTCAATCCTGCCTTTAGTGCTTTGGGCAATGGAAGCCCTCTCAGACGAAGTCCTATGGACCTCTTTGAGATCGCTTAAGATCCCAGAAACGGCTGTATGAAGGGCTCATACTTCTCCTGGAATTCCGGCTTACCAGGGATAGCCCCCCCCCCCCAGGTCCCCGGAAAAAGATCCATGACATTAAGCTCGCTTACGATCCCACAAAAGGCCCCATGACACCTTGTCCTTGAATAGTTCTGGCTTACCCAGGGAAAGGCCCCCCTACAGTCTACAACCCCGCCGGAAAAAGATCCATGACAAAAGCACTTCGTGAGCAGAGGCGGGCGATGAGGAGGGGGACGAGAATGACCCGGTCTGGCTCAAGGATAAGGCGCGAGCGAGTGCTTCGAGCCGCATGCTGCCAGGAAAGAGGTTGCCTTTCTCAAAATGGGCGTCGTTTTTTTAGGGGACCCCGCAAAAAAGGGGATTTAGGCGTTCGTATTTGGTTTCCCTTCAAAACCACAGAAGAGGGGGATAACAACTCAAAAGCAGACAGACCCAAAGGGGTATTACCAACATGGGGGGGCCGCAATGCCAAAAGTGTGCCAAACAAGGACGCGAAGGGAAAGGAAAACCTGCGCGACCCGCAGGCCCTTCACTCCCTTGGAGGCTTCCAAATCTCTTTTGCTGAAGTTGCATGGGTTTCAAGGAGCCTAGTTTCGGGATTCCCCAATACTGACAAGCACCTGTGGTATAACATGTGTGAGGAGGTGTTCGCATGATGAGAATTCATGTTGAGCAGCATTGTGAGCAGGATTCATGGGCCTTCAATTGTTTGAGATGTATGTTTGTTTCTTTTCCTAGTTGGCTCCTTTTTGAAGATCCCAGTCGTTTTTCTTCTGTTTGCCTTCAGAACAAATCGTCACGCCAACCATCACTCGTATCCTTTGCTTTGATGTTCAAGTGAAGAAAAGGCAACCAAAGAAGAACCAAAAACAACAACCACCATCCATGACTCTTCTCTTTTGTTTTTTGAATTTTAAAAAAGAAAAGGCAACCAAAGAAGCAACACAAACATAAAACCCTTAAGGGTCATTGAGTCATGACCCCTCCAATGCAGACCCCCGGACCCTCCAATGAACCCTCAAGGGCCCTCAACGACAACCCATTTGGGCCCAAAAACGGGACCCTTAGGGACACAAAATTAAGTAGAAAAAAAGGCTACCGCAACTCAAGTGAACAGGTCCCCTCACCGCATGAGCCTTGCATCTCGGCTTTCGGCGCTCGACTACTCGGCGCTCCACTCGGGACAGGGCGATCAGCTCATGGTGCGGGGGGAGGTGCAGGGAGCCTACAACGCCTACACCGAGGCGAATCGATGGGCAGGGGTTTCCTCCCGTGTTTTCCAAGCATTTTGTGGGATTCTCAAAATTATTTTGGGAGGTATCCCTTCAAACTCACCTTTTTTGGGGGGGATTCCAGTGGTTGGTGCTCAACTTGGCTGGTGGTTGTGACCGAATCGCCCTAATGGAAAGACCCGTGGGAACTACTCGTGGGAACCTCTTTTTTTGGTGGCTTGGAGCAACACAGCAAGTAAAGGCCGTGTTGGGATCCTGGTGTGGCTGGAAAAGGGTCCCAAGTTATCCACTGGAAGTCATCTACTTTGGTGCGTTGGATTGCTGGTGAGTTGGATTTGAACGGGTCCCTGGTTCTTGTAGAGGGTTTGCATGAGAAAAACACCTCCCAGAACACCAGGGAGGGAAGCTGATTCCAAGTCTGAGATTTGGAGGTGTAGATGCTTCCAATAGCTCGAACCCGCAAACATCACAAACAACCCTGAAAACCCCCATTTGGATTTACCGCTAGCAAGTGGTATTTCTGACCTTACCCCTGAAACCACCATTGTTCGTTTATTGTTTTTTTTTTTGTCAAACCCCTCACCCTGGAAAACACCAAAAACTTTCACTCGCACGGCGCTCGACATGCGCACGCTAGAGAAGTGTGGCACGTGTCCAACCAAAACTTTCAAACAACATCAGGGCTTCTTAAAAGATCTCCATTTTGCCCATTTGAAACATGTTGCTTTTTCAACACCAAAATGGAAGGAAGCCACCATTTACAAGTTGCAATGTTCAGGTGTATAGTGCATCCGGATCCCTGAACATGGATCTCCATTTCCTTGAGTGAAGCCCGCAGGCGCTCAAGCTGGGCTCCAACGCGCGGTGCTTCGCCAACCGCGCGGTGGCCGCTCTGTGACCTTTCGGGCGGAAGGGTCCCGGGGTCGGAGGCTACGGGTGGGTGGGTGGGTGGTGGGGGTGGTGGGTGGGTGGGTGGGTGGGTTGAAAGGCTTTGTGCGAATTGGAGTTACTCAGTTGCCCGGCGGATTCCGCCCTGTTTTCCCTTCATTTCTTGGGAAGGCTTCCCTTTAAACTCGACCAAGCAAGAAAAATATGACCTTTTTTTCCCGTGGAAATCCACTGGGAATATTTGAGATATATCCAAAAGCATTTTTTGTTGGAGGGGGGGAGAGAACCCTTGTGGTGGTTCTAATGAGAAGCTTTTGTTTATTGGCCTGTTTGGGAAAGCGCACACCCATAGAGAAAACCGGAATAACACTTTCCGAAAGAGATCCGTTGAACTACTCGAAATCTTCTATTTGTCCTACAGGAAAAGGACGCCAACTGGGGATGAATGTGTGTTTCAAGTTGTCCAGGCCCTTTATGTAGCAACCAGACCATGCATTTTTCGGCAGTGCCTCTAGATGGTTAAGACGTATTCTTCTTTTTGTGTAGGGAATTTGGGCAAGACCCGAGTATTCAGGTACCCGCAACCGGCGGCTTGGATTTGAACCCCAGGTTCCTTTGAAGATGGGGAAGGGAATCACCCCTTACCCAGAGGCTCCCGATGGATTTAGGGCCTTCAAACAACTTGGTTTTGAGACCCCCAACCATCTCCAGGGTCTCTAATGGAGGGGTCGGGTCTTCCATTGGAAGCCTCAGGAGCCTCTGGGCAATTTGAACCCCAGCTCCTTTTTGAAGCCAAATGATGAAAAAAAAGTAAGATACCCAGTTCCCAAGATCCAAACCACAAGGTGAAGTATCACGGTGTCGCTTGAGGTACCTCGGGAACTTTGAGCAGTGCCTGGAGGAATGATTGGGTTTCCGTGCCGCCGTTGGGCTTCTTTGACCCGGGGCAAAGGGATTCCAAGTGGCAAATCAACATCAGGAACCCAGGTCCGTAAGTCAGTAACTAACTAACCCCCCCACCCCCCCCACCCTCCCGCCCCCGGCAAAAAAAAGCAAGCAGGTCCGTAAGTAAGTAAGCACGTAAGTAACCAAGTGACCAACCCCCCACCCACCCACCCCTCCGGTCCATAAGTAGGTAAGTAACTAGTAAGTAAGTAAGTAAGTAAGTAACTTACCACCGGCCCCCGGCCCCCCTCTATACCCCCCTTCACCTACAAAAACAACACCTTCCCTCGCTAGCGAGTAAGTAAGCAACTAATTTTCTCCTCCCTTGTAAGTAGGTAAGTAAGCAAGTAAAGAAAGTAAGTAAGTAAAGAAAGTCCGTTCGTCAGCCAGTAAGCAAGCCAGTAAGTAAGTAAGAAAGAAAGTAATAAATTAAGTAGGTAAGTGTCTCGTCACCCAGCGCGCAAGGAGGAATTGAGCAGGTCTTTGAGAAAGTTAGTAAGCAAGCAAGTAAGTACGTAAGTAACTAACCACCCACCACCCCCCCCCCCCCCGGCCCACAAAAAAGGATACCCTCCCTCGCAAGTACCTATCTAACTCCCCTCTAGTAAGTAAGTAAGTAAGTAAGCCAGCAAGCAAGCCAGCAAGCAAGCCAGCAAGCAAGTAAAGTAAGCAAGCAAGTAAAGTAAGCAAGTAAGTAAGAAAGTAAGTAAGTAAGCAAGTAAGCAAGTAAGTAAATAAGTAAGTAAGTGACTAAGTAAGTAACTTACAGTAAGTAACTAAGTAAGTAAGTAAGTGACTAAGTAAGTAACTTACAGTAAGTAAGTAAGTAAGTAAGTAAGTAAGTAAGTAAGTAAGTAAGTAAGTAAGTAAGTAAGTAAGTCTCGTCACTCAGCGCGACCACGCGATAGCAAGACAGATGCGCGACCACTACGCCGCAGCAGCCGGTAGATACTTGCGCGCGGAAAGCAAGCAAGTAAGTAAGTGAAGAAGTAAGTAAGTGAGTAAGTGAGTGAGTAAGTAAGTAAGCAATTATGTAAGTAAGCAAGTACCCAACCCCCCTCCCCAGGCCCCCCTTCCCCCGCCCCCCCAGCAAAGAAAAAGAAGTTCTTGCTGGGAGCTAGCGGGCCCAGGAGGTGGAAGTGGGGGAGGTGTTGGGGGGCGGGGAAGCTGAGGTTGGGGGGGGGGGGGGGGGGGGGCAGAGCTGGGGTTGGGGGGAGGAAGGAGGGGGAAGCGGTTGAACTGGGTCGTTGCATTCAGGCGCGAGACAACCAGAAAGTCTCACGAGGAGTGAAACCAAAAAGCACAGCTCAAAGGCAACTGGACGCGATTTTACCTTTAACTAAACCTATGGCTTTCTTTACAGTCGGTGTGAAACCTAAGCTCGAGTTTGAAGCCGGCTGTTGTGAATGAACCATGTGGCTGAAGTCCAGAATCTGGTGTGCTTGAACCCCCCCCAAACAACAATGACAATCGTCGTAATAATGCCACTACTAATAAGAATAGTAACAACAATAATAACAACACTAATAATAATAATAATAGTACTACTAATGATAGTAACAATAGTAATAATAATAACAATAACAATGACAATAACAATAATCATAATGATAATACTCATGCAATAACAACAACACGCAAAACAAATAGGCCCAAGTCATATCCCCAACAGCCCGAAATCCCTGAAAGCTTCCTCAAACCAACCCAGTAGTGCCTGTGTGGGGGCCTATCGACCCCATAGATTCCAGCTGCTGGAGAAAAAACAAGCTAGCCCTTGAGCTTGTCCTTTCTCCGAAATCAAAGGCTGATTGCATCGGTCCATACATGAACCCATGGCGATTTGGGACCTGTGGGGGCCTGATTGATTTCCAGTGAAGCCATAACTAAGGCTTAAGCAAAACCCACAAACTACCGGGGGTTCACACCAAGGGCCTAAGGGTCCATACCACTGGTATATGGACATTCAGCATATTCAGCCAACTTAGATCTGGGGTTAAAAGCAGCTGGAAGCCCTTAGGACTGTACTCGCTCCATCCAGATCTTGGACCTCAGGACGGCGAGATCGATCGAGCCGAAGATCCGAGCGAGAGGGAAGTCGGGAACGTGGTGCGTTTGAGTTCTAAAACCTCCAACTTCGGCAAAATTAGGATGGTTCTACGTGGTTGCATGGAGGTGAACAAGGGGCCCTCTCAGCTTTTGTCACCAAAAGTCCGCGGGTGAAACGGGCGGTCATTTGATCTCGTGTCACAGGTAAGTCCTCCAGAGCTTGCCTTTCCCAGACCAATTTGGCACGAGGAATTGCCAGGCAAGTCCCCCTGCCCAAGTCCCTTTAACCATGTGATTTTTGTGATTACTCATTTGGAACCCAGTGATTGTTCACACCCCTCTAAACCGTGTCCGACCATTCTGCCATCAATGTCAACCTGCTAAGTGACTAGTAACAGCACAGTCTCTATAGGTTCTAGTTTAACCCCCTTGCCATTTTAGCCCCCATAGGTCAGGGGTCGCTGGAATTCCCCTTCAAAAGTTGCAATTTACTAGTGGTTTCCATTGAAATGATCGCGCCGTTTTGCAGGTCGGAAACCTCAAACATGGTGTTTTTGTTCTGTGGTTTCCCTTCCCCCCCCCCCCCTTCCCCCTTCCCCACCAAAAAAACGAAAGAAAACAGTTACCCTCAAAAAACGACAGACCCTTACAGGCAGCGGCACTGACGAAGTTTCAGGAACAAGCCCCGGAACGGCGAGCTGAACCACAGCCCCGACCCTGAGGATGAGAAGGCGCGGCCAAGAAGCCTCGCGCGAGAAAAGCGTGCGCAAATTGTCTAGTTTCCATTTGCTTAACCCAGAGGCTCCTGGCTTCGGCTTTCCATGGAAGACCCGACTCCTCCATTAGACAGCTCGGGAATTGGTGTTTGCGGGTCTCAAAACCTGGCTGCTTGAAGGCCCTAAATTGATCGGGAGCGTTTGGGAAGAGTTTGTTTTTTAGTTTTTTTTTGTTTTTGTTTAACATATATATATATATATTGTTTTTTCCCCCGTTGGTTGTTTAGAGGGGATCTATGACTACTACAATTATGTCACTTGTCCAGCGGGCTTCAGGAACTGGAAGCTAGGGAACAGTTCCAAACCTCGGCGTGGATATATCCATAGGTGCGGACAACCTTTTACAGATTAAGGGGTTCTCGGTCTATTTTCTCCCGGAGATTTTTTGGGAGTATGGTCAAGAAATGGTTTTGCCCCAAACTAGCAGGAGAACCCGGGCACGGGGTTGTTTGCATTTGTTTTTTTTCTTGAAGACCCCGACCAAGGATACCAACTCATAAAAAAAAGTACAACAAACGAAATAGTTCATGCAGATCATACAAAATCATACTTTAAATCATACAAAAACACCACCAAGAAAGTACAAAATCATACAATGCCTATTTTGAGCAGCCCATCGGCCAACAGAGGCCCCCCCGCTGGGGAGACATGTTCCGCTTCCGCTAGGTCCGCGCGCGTGTGGAGGTGCGAATGGGCACCAAGCCCAGGATGGCCGAAAAGCGAAGGCCAAGAAATCTTTGGGGCCCCCCTTAGGGTTTTGGGAGTCGGCGACTCCAACGACAACACGAGAAGGATTTTGAGTAAAGAAATGGGCGTGGCTCGAAAAAAAAAGGGCCAGGGCAAACCGGTGTTAGTCTTTGGTTCCATTTACGAAGGTGCCATTTTGGGCTACATGTTGTTGAGCCACAGCCATTTTGCTCGACTCGAGTGTTTGATGGAACTGGATTTTTTGAGGGAGCTCGATAGTCCGGCTTGTTTTAAGGGAATTTGATAGTCCGGATTGTTGAGGGAACCTGACTGTTCTTGTAGAGGGAGCCCAGTCTGTGTAGAAAGGAAACCAACAAAACAACAATTGTCAGCCAAGTCTTTGCCTGCTGAGGGCACTTGATTGTTTCAGGACCCCCTGTTCCCTTCCCTTTTAGGGTGCAGCATGTTGAATTTGGGGGATGGGACCAAGTGGGCTTGAGGGTTTATTGAGAGACCTCTTTTTGGGGTGCTTCAGAAGACAAACCGCAGAACAACCAGCAAAACTTGAGGGACGTTGCCTCAGAATATGGTCGGGCTTTTGTTGGATCAACTCTCTTTTTGTTTCTAAGCCTGATGTTTTCTTTTCAGGCAAGCCTTTTTTGGCGTGCCCCGTTTTTTTTGTTCTTGGGGGCCACCCATATGAAGAATCCCTGCCAACATATTTGCTCAACCAGCGCCTCCCCCCCGCCCCCCCCCCCCCTTTGTTTGATGTAGGTCGCCCTTAGTTGGTTGTTTGGAGCCCGGCGGTTGGATTTTTTAGAGATCGAATCGGAACAATTGCCTGGCTTAAGGGCCACGAAGCCACGGATTCGGCGAACGACCAACTGGGATTGGGCAAGCTGATCTTCGCATGTCCTTTTTGGTGGTTTTGCTCGAAAAGTAGATGGGTTTCGATTCCTGGTTTACCTGGTGGTTCAATCATCTACCAGGGAAATCCATCTATTTCCCCTAAAAGGACACATGGATCTTTTTAGATACGGAAGCTTTTGTAGAGGCTCCACCAAACCACTGATTCGGCTCCAAACCAATTGGGGGGAAGCTGATCTTCGGTGTACAAAGGTCACCCTGGCAACATCTGGCGACTCTGAGGCGTGGCATTTCTTTGGCTCGGCGCATTCAAGAAGGCGATGTGAGACGTGTCGGGGGGTGGGCGCGTGCTGAGGCTTGGGCGCAGTAGTTATACATGGTTGTCGTTGGGAAACATTTTTTTACATGTTTGCTTATTGTGGTTTAGTGGTTGAAATCCAACCACTTAACTGCTAAAAATTGCTTGAATTGTTGCTCCCCGAATCACGTAGAGAGTTGATCTCTATAATTGCAACCTGGGCACACGGGCTTACGGACAAACAGGCCCAGGTCGTAATAAAGGCCCTTGTACCCCAGTTTGTGGCAGCGTTTTGGGGCGCGGTTGTCCTTCCCCTGCAGCTTTCGCAAAGAAGAGAAGAGACTTGTGCCACGGGGGCTCCGAAGAGCACCAACCTGGGGAGAGATCAGAGTTGTCCTTTTCAAGACTCATTTTTTGAACAAATGTATAGTGACTGCCCTCCGCACAGTGGTACTGGATTCGGTATGAAACCCTAGCTTCTCCCAAAGGCTTCGGCAAGCTTCCACACGTTGGACTCCAATTCAGAGTGCTCCCTCCCCGCTTTTTTAGGGATGGTGACGAGCTCCACGGAAAAGTGTGTATTGAATTCTTCACAGGTCCAAGGGTTTAGGGTCCCTGCTCAGGACCTGAGAAGCTATGCAGATTCGCCGTTTCAACCACCCTGCGCTTGTGCACCAATTGCTTTCCATACTGGGTGTTTTGGTGGCGACCGACCGGTTCAGTGGCACCTCTTCTTTTTATCGTTGTGTTTGATGGCACATCGTCATGCCCAAAAAGGGTTCCAAGTAGTTTTTCTCCCAGGTTCACTGAACAACTGAGTAGTACCCCATCCCATCCTCTCACTCCTGGGAATGGTGGCATCACCGGACATGGGGACCATTTTTTTGGGTATGGGTCAAAATTCAGGAATCGGACCGCAGGTTTTAGTCCTTGGTTCCATTTACCAGGGCAACTCATTTCGGGCACCCCATTTTTGACCCACAGCCACATGTTCGATTCACTTCGCCATCCATCGCGGAACTCCAGTTTCTCAAGTTGCGAGCTTCGCTGGGCAAATTGGTCTTGGGTTTGAGTTGCTGGGATCGTCTTTCACCCTGTTTTTGGGGGGTTTTGGGGGGTTTTGCGGGGTTGGTTGGGGGGGTTGTGGGGTTTGGTTTCGGGTTTCGGGGTCACCGGCCTGGGGACCCGTTTCGCCCGTTTCGGCGCAGGCGGAGGCGCATTTCGAAAAGGCGCTCAAGACCGAGGGCCTCGACGCAGAGGAGACGAAGCAGGCGTGAGCGAGGTGAAGCCTTCCACTCTCTCCCTCCAACGTGGAAGCCGACGATCAGAGGGTGTTGGGGTTTTGGTAGACTTTCCCTTTTGGGATGGCCCAAAACGTTGCCATGTTGGTTGACATCTAGGTGGGGATCAAGGTGGGTTCCACCACAATTCGTGGCCAGCTGGAATTGCACCAGGCACTTTTCCAAGAGGAAGGTAGTCTTTGTACAGTCCGTGCACTTCCATGTTGGTTGGTGGGAGGGTGGGTTCCAGCGTTTGGGCGATGTATGTTTTCATCCTTTGGGACCTTTAAGGACCATCAAATTACGGACGCGTTCGGGCCAATGGCGACCTCCAGGTGAGAGTGACCCATTGGGCCCCTTTCCAAGGAAAGTCACCTAGGGGTCTGCAACAAGCCAAGGGTATCCTCAGTTACGCTGAGAAAAAACGGCCAGGTGCGCCAGGATCTGGAGCGAGTGCAGGGCGCCTGGGTGGCTCTGCAGGTCAAAGAGCAGGCGGAAAAGTTTCGGGGCCTTTGGGTGGGAGGGGGGGGGGAAGGGGGAGGGAAGGGGGGGGCCATAACGACAACGGTTGGTGGCCAGTTTGGGCTTCTTCGGGGGGCTAATTTCCTGCAAGGCGGCCATGAAGAGTTCTTTACTGGGGAGACCATGAAAAGCGACAATTTGTTTTGCAACTTCCCCGCAGCCCGAGAACCATTATTTACGCCTTGTACTTATGCTTATCCGGGGCTGTGGCGCAATGGCAGCGCGCCCACGCATTCCACGCATGGGAGGTTGCAGGTTCAAATCCCGTTGGCCCTATGCCTTCTTTGGTCCCTACGGGAAGCTACCACGCAAAAAAATAAATAAATCAAAATCAAAAACCAGAGGCCTGCTGGTCTGAAAAGCCAACACCTCTAGAAACCACACTGACACGCCGCTATGCTGCTTGGAATGTACTACAAAGTTGCGAGGTTCGAGTGGTGCGAAAAGCCTTAACCGTCGCGCAAATGGGTGTGTGTCCGGACCCCCACAAATTGGCAGGGTTCCTTTCGGACAGTTAAAAACGACAAGCCACCCAAGTTATAATCTTGGGCGTCACAATATTTGCCGAAGTACGAGTCAACCAGTTCTAGAAGTCCTTATATTTAAGGATACAACCCTCAAGCGCGACGCAAGTGCTTGTTACACAAGCACGGACGATCGAGACCCCTATTTTGGGTCAATCGGGCTGCTCGGGTTGCTCGCATGGCCGCGCTTGGCCGCGCTTGTCAGGCGGACCAAAGCGCGCGCAGCGGTGAGCCGGAGGCGAGAGTCGTCGGTTTGGACGGCGGTTTGGCTCGGCGTGGGCCCAACAACGGATAGGAACTAGGTCCCCAGTGTCCGTTTACCATTTTTTACCCTTTTGTGGGGGAGGGTTCCCCTACTAAAATAGACTACAGAAAAACAAGTTGGTACCCTTATTCTAACCTCTCTACAGGACCTAGGGAATGAATGTGTGTAAGAGCTGAGGAGTCTTCAGCCCCCTATGAATCAACAAGGTTTCTTTCATCCGGGGTTGCCGGGCTGCCGGGCTGCCGGGCCGACTGGTGCTGATCGATTCGCGTGGATGTGGTCCATTCACCGCTCTTTGCCCCCTCGATATGTTTTTTCTAGACCGCGGTTTGGATGTGACTCTTGTGGATCCCCTGCGTCGTACACAAAAGAGTATACTGAACGATTAGTCAAAAGAAAAGCAACTTGGGGAAGAACAGATGAAATCTACAATATTCTACAATCATCGCATCCAAAGCGTTTTCCAGATATTTGGCACCCCTGTCGTTGGCGTCACCGAGTCACCGCCGGGTTGCCGGGCTGCGAGCGAGCCGCGCCGCAAGATGCTCCCAGGTGCTGGAGAAGGCGTTGGGCCTCTATGGGGAGGCCGAGGAGGTGTCCAAGCAGGAGCCAAGGGAGAGACCGAGCCACTGACGATCCAACCGGAAACCCACTGAGGATTTCAAATACATTGGCTCATTTTTACATTGTTTACATTTTACCAGTGAAATCCGGGGTTTGAAATTTCACCTTTGTGGGGTAGACTTGGGATAGATTTTACATTTTACCAGTGACTCCATGTGAAGCAAACAAAATATACATTCTAGAACTGGGCCTGAGTCTAATCATGTCAAGTTTTGGATGACCATTTTAGGGGTAAATAAGAAGTTTGAGCTTGTTTTGGACGACCCACTCAGGCAGTGTGATGGTCATGACTGGTGGAACTGGGGCGATCGTCCCCTTATAAGTACTTTGGTGCATTTTGCTTGGATGTTAGGACTTTAACTTTTTGCCAACTAGTGAGTGTTCCAAGCAAGCCACAACAAGTTAAACACTTTTTGTGGGGGAGCAGAAAGCAACCGAGTACCCTCTGGGATTCCTGGAAGCCCCTGACATCAATGGCCGAAAGGTGAATCCTGGTAGCTAACCGTAGCAACTGCTGCTACACTGTGGGGGGATCCTCGCCCAAACTAGTTCAACTTGCTACTTGCCAGTTCTCTGAGAATTTTCAAGGGTTTTGGGAATAAACCGGGGATCCGCAAGCGACTGGTTGCTGTCTTAGGAGAGCGCCGTGGTCTTTGCCAACCGTTGCCAGGCGCGTCTCGGCTCGCTTCCTTCCCCCTGCTTTGCCCAAAGCGAATCGACCTTTGGACCTGTTGACCTTTTTGCAAACCGTTGAGTCAGGTTTTCCCGCTTTGGAGCGTTTTCAGCTGGCCTGTTGGTTTCAGCGGCTCACCCCCGCTGGCGGGTGGGCTTTCTGAGGAGGCGAAGGGCTGGGAAGGGATGGTACCCCCGAGCCACGTGTTTTTGTTGGGGTTGCTCTGAGCCTGCAACGGATTGTCACAGGGTGCACACTTGCACGGCTTTCATTGATTTTCCTGTAGAGGGTCAACTGTCTACCCCAAGAAATGCCCAAAACCAAATTGGGTCTGTCGACCCCAAAATGATTGATCTCCTTCTGGTTTCCCCTTAAAACTAGCCAAAAATGGTTTTCGCCACTGTAGTAGGTAACTGTTTGGGTTCTTACCAGGTTTTACTCATCATCTTGTTTTATTTTGGCTACCTACCAGGACTGGCTGGCTGCACTGGGGGGTCATGCGCCAAGAATATTTCACGGCCCAAGTCGGGTCCGAAGATTTCCGAAGATGGCGCCGCAGGCGCAGCTGAAGAAAGGAGAGCTCCAAGAGTGTCTACGAGATGCCCGGGTCCCGTTGCCACGGCCGGCCAAATCAGCCAAGGAGTGATCTGAAGCTGTTGGCATTTAGCGATGGCACAGCAAAACGAGGAATCCCGAAATTGGCACCTTGGCAAATGGAACCAACGACTAAAAGATGAGGTTTACCCCGCCTCTTGAATTTTGAGCCACCATTTGTTTCAGGTTTTGAGCCTTTTTCTGTTTGCTTTTAAAAAAAATGTTTCTGTAGCCATTTTTAGTGAAGGGCTTCAAAAGCGTCAGCTGTTTTTTCCCGCTCGCTGGCTTCCGGCGAGGCTCGGGGAAATGGAAGGGAGCCCTGCAGAAGCTACCTCTCAGCAAGTTTTTTCTTTGGCCACCTGTGGAAAATGGGTGGGGGTGGGGTGGGGGTGGGGGTGGGGTGGGGTGGGGTGGGGGTGGGGTGGGGTCTCAGCCAGGGTCTTCTTGCCAGCCACAATCAAAACCTGGGTAGCTGGTTCGGTGAGTAAGGGGCGATCCCCTTGCCATAAATAGCTGCGGATCTCCGCCTTCTTAATCTTTATATGGTTTCGGGTAGACCATTTTAACACCAGGTTTTGATTGCGACTCGACCTGTGGAAAATGGTTCGACCCCCTCGTGAAGTTGATTTAGTCGAGGCGCATTTTCGGGGGCGGGGGGGGGTCAAACCACGGGCACCGCAAGGCTGCTAAAGACCTACTTGTCGCCCATGTTTTGGGACAAACTCCCATTTGGCTGGTTCAAAGGCAATGACTACTGGTTGTTTTGGGTTAGCTGAGGAACCGCTCCTTCTGGTTCCTTTCGAGTCATTTTCTCATATTATGGAACAGCTCTCCATGTTGAACAGTGCCATCCTTGGGCTTCTAGGCTCTCTGTTCACTTAGCGCTTGGCAAGTAGCTTGAAGCCAGAGGCAAGTTTTTTTCCCACGCCTGAAACACCAAGCTCCCTTAAGCCCCACCCCACCCCACCTCCCCGTTCTAGTAAAGGCTCACCATTGGGAAATAGCCTAAGGTTCTGGCCAGGCTGTCTTATGCCCCGTGATTACGAACCCTCACCACCTCACCCCACCCCCCCCCACCTCCCAACCTCCCCAACCTCCCCAACCTCCCCAACCTCCCCAACCTCCCCCCCCCCCAAAGCTCGAACCGCAGTTTCCGGCCCAAGCCGCCGATTTCGACCCGCCGGCCAGCCGCCGGCCAGCCGCGTCGCGTGGGCCATGGACACGGAGAAGCACTTCGGGATGCTGCGCCGGCGTCGGCGCTTCGATCGCGGCGCCAGGTGCGACTCGAGTCGGGCGATCGAACCTCCAGACCCCCGGACCCTCCAATGGAGAACGGGGCCCGGGCAATTCCTCAAAAACCTTCAACGACAACCCATTTGGGCCCAAAAACAGTCGGGACCCTTAAGGTGGGAAAACGCTGGGTTCGGCGAGTTTGGTGGCTTTGGTGGTGGAAGTTGGAGAGGTGAAGTCCTTTTCTGACTTGGCAAATACTCATGCTTGAGACAACCTCATGTTCATCCTGGGTGGTCCGTTGTAGACTCCCGAAGGTTGAACAAATGGTACGTGTTTGTAAACGTGTTTCGATTTCCCCACGGGTCGTTACTCAGGCGACCCGAGCAGAACTTGTGCTAACGAATAAGTTCTGATGGCAGAGTCACGGGACAATCAGAAACAACCCGCAGAATTGGGTGAAGGTATTGAGCCCCTCCAAGCAACAGGAGGGTGTGTTGTTTCATTAGAGGACCCACTTTCTTGCTCTTTTTCCCCATTTTTTTCCGTGTTGTAGGTTGTAGGTAGGTAGGTTAGCCTCTTCCAATTGGGGGGCCGAAAAATCGATCTTGGTTTTCCGTTTGGTTTTCCGTTAACTTTAAAGCCCCTGAAATGATACGGCTGTGGGTCAAAACCAATGGTACCATTTTGGGGTAGGTTTTAGTCTATTTTAGTGGGGATTGGCATGTTCACTGGGGGTACGATTTGGATTTCGACCCATGGCCATGCTGAGCCTCAAACACAAGACAACTGTCGACCTCGCAAAGGAGTTCGCTTCGAACCCCCTCCCCCCCCCCCAGCATCACCAACTTGCAAGTTGTTTTCTTCCCCGGGATTAGCTCCCCTTTTTCCTTTTTTGCTTTTTTGGGGTTCCCTTTGTTTTCCACTAACCAGGCAAAAATATATATTTTTTGCTGGGGTCCTAATTCCAGCCTAGTTTTATGAGGGCACCCTTTTTGGTTGGGTTTAAGGAGAACCAAAGCGAAAGCCACCAATTTTGGAGGCCCCGTCTTCTTGGCCACACACCCGCTTGCTTTTTTTGTTTTTTCATTTTTCTCCGGGGGGGGCTTTGCTGCTGGTTTGTGATTTGTTGCAGTTACCTAGGAGTCCTTGCTGTCAACTTGGGTGTGGGATGGATTCCACTGGTTATTTCCATTTGCTTAAGAATATGTCTGATTTCCCCTTGTTGGTTTTGATAGGGATTTATCACTACTGGAAAGGATCTTATTTTTTCCAGGGGTCTTAGCCAAAATGGAAGGTTACAGTTTGGTCGAGTCACAATCTACCACTGCGATCGCAAAAAGATCGGCTTCTGAGCGACCATTCTTTGCCAAGGGGATCAGGTCCCCGCAGGGCCACTCCAGGATTGTTGGGAACAGGAACTGGAGGGTAGTACGGGGATCGACAAATGGGTGCGGAGATCCGCCTTTGGAATTCTTTACATGGTTCTGGGATTACAACCAGTTTAGTGTCGATCGATTTTGATTATGTCATGACTTGATGTTTTCATCTTCGTTCTTGCCCGAGGCTCACTTGTCAGTTAATGGTCAGGATCTGACCTTTGGTTTCCCCATGTTGGATTCCTGCTGTGGATGGTTGCGACATCCATTTCACACCACCGTTCAGAAACCCTGGTTTCTGATTTGATTCCCCAACACGAAACAACAAGCAAACGTTATGCTTTCAACACCATGGCGGTGACTCATTTCGTGGTGCGTTAGCGGATTTCGCAACTATCCACAGTATGAACAGTCAATGTTCCCAAAGGGTAGTCAAAGTTGATCACTTTTAGCAAGGGAGCAACCACTCATCTAAGTTGTCTAGGTCCCCCAGTAGTGCCCTTTTACCCTTTTTTGGGGGAGGGTTCCCCTACTAAAACAGACTACAGAAAAAAAGAGTACCCTCATTCTAACCTCTCTACTGGAGGACCTAGTTGTGGTGATACTGCTAGCTTCCCCAAACCAAGGAATTCCAGGAACAAATTGTGCTGTTTGCTTCTGGTGGAACCTTGGATTTCCAGGTGCTTCTTGGATGCTCAACCAACTTAGTGAGTAGGTTAGGGTCATGTTTATAAAGGCGACTTAGCCCAGTTACCCCAATCATAACCATGGCATCAATGCTCTTGGCAAGTTGTTTTGTTTGGTGTTGTTTTGATTCTGTTCATTTTCAGTAGCGGGCTGCAAAAGACAGATTTGGTTGCTACCATACCAAGGGTTGTGAGGATGGCTATGACCTACTTGCTAAGTTTGTGGAGCATAACATGGTTGTTGTTGGGAAGCATTTTACATGTTTGCTTTATTGTGGTTTAGTGGGAAATTCCCACTTAACTGCTAAAATTTCATTTTTTGCTCCTTCCAACGTCAACCAAGTAAACATTTTTTTCATTTTGGTTGCCGTGGATAGTGACGCAATCCACAGCGGGGCCGGCACCAATGGATGAAACCCGATTTGAATGTCGCGGAATTCGTCGGTATCTGGTCGCAGGTTCCAAATGACCACCTTGATGTCCAGGTCCTTTGGGTATTGCCCATGGCGTACAAAGGTGAACTCCAAAACGGTGATGTGGCCAAAACAAATCCCGATGTTGGTGCTTTTCCCATGTGGGTGGCTAGTCGTTGTGTTTGGCACCCCCCAAAATGATAAGGGTTTTGGAAAACCAAAGACGAGCCACCCATTTTGGCTGCGATTTTTATGTCAACGTTCTGAAAGGTGAGCTTGTAGAGGGCAGAGTCGGATTTAGAGCGCACACTCCACCAAAAGTTGTCCCAGTGTTGGTCCTATATTTCCAAATTATTATTGTTTACTCACATGTGTTCCTCGGTCCGCTTTCCCAATTATGTTTTTTTTCACATTTCTTCGCCTTTGGCCAAGCATTTTGTCCACTTTCCCACTTGAGGTCCCAAGTTTGGCCCAAAAAATTGCTCGCCGAAGAGAAAAAGAGGCACAGAACGGCCAGCCAAGCGTGGCAAGGATTTAGGGCTCCACTTCTGCCCAGCCCATCCCCTGTTGGCGCTTTGGTTCCTAGGTCCTCTTACCAGGCCTAGGTGTCCTTCTTGGCCCTTCTTTTCTCGAAAAAAGAGAAGCAACCGAAGCCGATGCCTGGTGCTGGCTGGCTCAATCAGTTGGCAACCCCTCCATTCTCCGAAAATCACTTCTTCAGGTCCTCCAATCATCAGAATTTCAATCATCAGAACCCCTCCACTCGTCAGGGCACCTAGGACCGCTCCTTTCTGCTCGCGCGGTTGGATCCCTTCCCCTTCGGCCCGGAGGTACGGCGGCCATGGGGGGGGCACTGTGGTCCTCGGCAGCCCGCAGGCCCGGCGGCTCGGGAGCTTTCCGTGGGTCAAGGGATCGGGGAGAGACCAGAAGTGGTTGGGTGGTTTTCTCTGGCCAGGTGGCAAAACTGGTACTCCAGTTTTTTTTTCGGGGAAGTTTGGTGTGTGAGAATGGCCATGTGTGATTCTTGTAGGAGTTGGACCCCCCCTTGTCTTGCTTTTCTTCTTCTGTTTTACCCTTTGTTCTCTTTTTTGTCATTGTCTCTTGTTTCTCTTTGGGCCAAACAGTTTGCCGATTCCAGCTGTTTACACTGCCACCATTTGGTGTTCCTTCATGTTTTCTTTCAATCTGCTAGTCCAATTGTAAGTGATCTAGAAAGCGGGTTTGATGTGACTATTGTGGATCCACCCCTGTAGAATAGTACAAGAGTACTAAAAGACCACAAGAAAGGACCAGCAAGGGGAAACACAAGTGATACCTGCAAAAAATTGCATCCAAACCGTTTTCTAAGCCTTGGTTACTAATCACTTAATTAGATAAAGTTCTTCGGTTGATTCCTCATGCCTTTCCCACTGCCGATTTTCTCCGGCAATTTGGAAGGAGCAAAAACCGATCCGGGGGTACACCCCAGCACACCTATGATGAAAGGTCCTTTACTGGAAGTTATAGTATACGGGGCGAATCAATTGCTCATAGTTTACCGCTAGAATCGTGACATGTGGATTCAAGAACCCCCACCACCTCATTCACAATGATCTCGACCATTGTACTTTTCCCGGCTTGTGAATCATCATGAGTTGCCCAGGGTCCTTAAACAGGTTCCAGCTGTTTAACCTTTTGCCGCGTGCCTTTTTGGCTGTCCTTCGTATCTCTTTCAAGCAGCGAACTTGTGCACTGCGCCGGCCCCTGTATCCCATTGTCAAGGGCCTTGTCCCGGCCACGCGGCCGCATCGCGGTTTCATGGGATATACTAAAGGGTCCATGAAAAATGGTCCCACCTCCAAACACCCGTTTGTGTCAGACGGAATCTTGAAAAGACATGGTATAAGCCATGGCAAATACCATGTTTTGGTCAGGGCTTGTGGTCAGTTCCGTTTTGGAAGTCAAAGGGGCGCTCTTTGTATTTTGGGATCTAGGAGAACTGGTTGATTCTGATCGGGGGGTGTCATTTTGGAGCGAGGCTTCAGACCACTTTTGGAGGAAAGCACTCTGTCAATCAGGCACATTGCTTTACACCTCTTCTCTTTGCTTTCCACCAGTGTTCCCTTTTATGGGCAGGGCCTTCTAACGTGAACCAACTGGAAGCGCTGTCCATCGAAGCGTTACGAGTAAATCGACTAGCTCCGATCAGATTCCAAGGGTTTCCACTTCCGCGCTAAGATCTCCCGAGTTTCTGTTCTGCTGGTTTCTCAGATGGCTCGCCATGCCGCAACACAGGTTGTCTTTTTCTATCATTGTCCTTTGTAGTGGTTTCAAATGGACACCAACAGGACAACCCGAAAAGAAAAACAAACTCTTTTTCTGAGGGAGCCCTTTCTTCGTGGTTTCAAGCAGGACACCAACAGGACCACCCGCAAAAACGAAACGAGGCAAAAACATCTTGGGCTCCTCCGATTCCTTTAAAAGGACAGAGCCAGGTAGGGATGCTCTCGGGTTGTCGCGCGCGGAGAGGTGGCGGAGGACATCCCCGGGTTCCAGGGCGTCACTCTGCAGAAGCTGACGCCAGGCGATAGGAAGGGGTGGGGGGTGGCGGGGGCGGGGGGGTGGGGGGTGAGGGGGTGGGGTGGTCTGGGGGCGGTAGAAAGAAAGTGTTGGCACCTGAGTTTGAAAAACATTTTCCCCTCCAAAGAAGAGGTAAAGGTACAAACCCCGCTGCAGCTCAACTTCCACCCTCTGCCCCGCCCCTTCCCCCCACCCCACCCCACACCCCACCCCACACCCCACACCCCACCCCACACCCCACCCCCCCACCCCCCAGCCCACCCCCCAGCCCACCCCCCAGCCCACCCCCCAGCCCACCCCACACCCCACCCCACACCCCACCCCACACCACCCCACACCCCACCCCAGCACACCCCACCCCACACCCCACACCCACCCCCCCCCACCGCACCCCGCCCCGCCCCGACCCACCCCGCCCCGCCTGCCACCCCGCCGCGCTCCCCACCCCCACCCCAACCCCACCCTCCACCCCACCCCACCCCACCCCCCACCCTACCCCACCCCACCCCCCCCACCCCCGACCCCCCACCATCTCACCCCAACCCCAAGGAATGGGGGGGTTAGGCAGCCAATCCCTGCACTGCTTCCATTTGTCTCGAGGCTCATGCAGCCTTTCTTGACTCGGAGTGGCCTCTGGCCAATGGGGTGGCAAGGCGCTTTCTCTGCTTGGTAGGCTGCAATGCCATTATTGCACTTGGAGGAGACAAAATGCTCCTGCACATGGAAGTCTCCTAAACAGGGGGGTTGGGGCATCCTGACAGGCTGTGGGTGCAAATCAGGGTTTTGCCAGGGGGATGGATGTTCAGGACCAATGTAAGCAGAAATCCGACCATTGCAAGGCAGAGCGCCGCGACGAACAGGATGTCACACACATCCGCGAATGTGTTGGGCTCTTCCGCAGCCCGGCCCACAAGGCGTTGCCAGTGACAGGTTGCAACAACAAACTCGCCACGCCTGCCAAGATGCCCGAGACGGCAGAGGCCACCTCGCAAAGCGCGCGCCGAGCATCGGATCCGATTTTGATGTTCTTAGGTCGTCGTGGTGTATGTGAGCGAATGGCCTGGAATGGCCTGTGAGGCGGGAGGTGCGCTATTGCGCGCAAGCTATTTCCTGGCTCAAGCACACAGAGCACAGGTGTGCTTGACACATTTGAGCTGGTATGCCCATCACTTTCCACCTGGCTACTCAGCAGCCTGGAGGGAAGCATGGCAGCTGCACAAGCCTGTGATGATGACATGTCATGGACATAAGTAAGACTGACATGGACTCCCCACAAGCATCCTCTCAAGAAAAGGCAGGGCTGCTATTTCAGGAGCTATGTGTGTCTATGTGTATGTGTGTGTGTGAAGCAAAGAGAATCTTTGACATAATAGCAGGCCTGTTCACCCATAGCACTTCTTTTGGGCTTGTTCATAGATTGGAATTGGAAAGGGCAAATGCAGCTGACTGCTTTGCCCTGGACCCACCCTTGGGGTTGCTGCATAGGACCAAGCTGGGCCTGGTGCCTTTCAAATTTTCAGGGTTGACGATTCAGGAGGGGCTGACATATTAGGAAAGGCACCAGGACCTGACAGAAAGCATTTCCCACCAGAAGGATTCAGGGAGAGAGTGAAAGGAATGGCAAGGGCCAATGTGTGGTTTTGGGTTTTCAAGAATCTTTCTAGTGCCTGTGCTGCCACAGCACAGCTCGCTTGAACATGGGCCATGGGTCCTTTCTAATCAACTTAAGTGATATGGCAGAAGAACATACATGCTGTTGCTGCTTTACAGAACAGAGCTGTGCCAATGCTGCCTTTGTTTTTGCACGATCCAGGGCAAGGCAGGGCCCCTTTCATCGGGAGTTAGAATTGGAAAAGCCAGGTGAGCAGCTTTGATCATTGAGCCCTGCTTTGCCCAACATCACAAGTTTTGTGCAGAGGCCACTGGGGGCTTGCCTGTAAAAAGATTTCAAGGTATGTGACAGCTGTTATGTGCTATGGGACATGAGTAATTTGTGGCAAGCACCCCACAGCCACCCCACCCACCCCCACGCCCACACCCACACCCACACCCACACCCACACCCACACCCACACCCACCCACACCCACACCCACCCACACCCACACCCACCCACACCCACACCCACACCCGCACCCACACCCACACCACACCCACACCACACCCACACCCACACCCACACCCACACCCACACACCCACACCCACCCACACCACACCCCACACCCACCCCACCCACCCCCACCCACCCACCCCCCCACCCCCCACCCCACCCACCCCACCCACCCCAACCCAACCCACCCCACGCCCCCCTCCCACCCCCCCCCACCCACCCCACCCCACACCCACCCACCCACCCAACCCACCTACCCACCCACCCACCCACCCACCCACACCCAACCCCCACCCACACCACACCCCCACCCACACCACACCCCCACCCACAACACACCCCCACACCCACCCACACCGACCCACACCGTCACACCCACACCCATCTACCCACCCACCCGGCCTTGCGCTATGTAACGGTGAGGCAGCCATGGTGATGCTGTATGTGCTCAAGGGCACCTTTCTGCCTGGTGGGTTTGCACGGCCACGTTGTGTGATATCCCAGTGAGCGACAAAGTGCTTGTTTTTACCTCTAAGTGTTGCTTGATTTGTTTGAAGGTCTTCTGCTGCCAAGTTGCTGACCGGGGAGGGGAACGGGCAGACAACAACGCAACTAATTACGAATGAGCAAACACATATTCGCCATCACGCTTTTTTTGCTGTTGCCCTTTGGGGTAAGGCTTCCTTTCGGGAGGGTGTGTGAAAAGTATCCTGGATTTGTCTAGGCCTGGTTCCTTCAAGGTTGACTGGCTGGTTGCTTGGTTTGGTTGCTTGGCTGCTTGCTTGCTTGGTTGCTTGCTTGCTTGGTTGCTTGGTTGACTGGTTGCTTGGTTGGTTGGTCGCTTGCTTTGCTTGCTTTGCTTGCTTTGCTTGCTTTGCTTGCTTTGCTTGCTTTGCTTGCTTTGCTTGCTTTGCTTGCTTTGCTTGCTTGCTTGCTTGGTTGCTTGGTTGACTGGTTGCTTGGCTGCTTGCTTGCTTGGCTGCTTGCTTGCTTGGCTGCTTGCTTGCTTGGCTGCTTGCTTGCTTGGCTGCTTTCTTGCTTGGCTGCTTGCTTGCTTGGCTGCTTGCTTGCTTGGCTGCTTGCTTGCTTGGTTGACTGGTTGCTTGGCTGCTTGCTTGCTTGCTTTGCTTTGCTTGCTTGGCTGCTTGGTCGCTTGGTCACTTGGCTGCTTGCTTGCTTGGTTGACTGGTTGCTTGGCTGCTTGCTTGCTTGCTTGCTTGCTTTGCTTTGCTTGCTTGGCTGCTTGGTCGCTTGGTCGCTTGGCTGCTTGCTTGCTTGGTTGACTGGTTGCTTGGCTGCTTGCTTGCTTGCTTGCTTGCTTGCTTGCTTTGCTTGCTTGCTTGGCTGCTTGGTCGCTTGGTCGCTTGGCTGCTTGCTTGCTTGGTTGACTGGTTGCTTGGCTGCTTGCTTGCTTGCTTGCTTGCTTGCTGCTTTGCTTGCTTGGCTGCTTGGTCGCTTGGTCGCTTGGCTGCTTGCTTGCTTGGTTGACTGGTTGCTTGGCTGCTTGCTTGCTTGCTTGCTTTGCTTTGCTTGCTTGGCTGCTTGGTCGCTTGGTCGCTTGGCTGCTTGCTTGCTTGGTTGACTGGTTGCTTGGCTGCTTGCTTGCTTGCTTGCTTGCTTGCTTGCTTTGCTTTGCTTGCTTGGCTGCTTGGTGCTTGGCTTGCTCTTGCTTGGCTGCTTGGCTGCTGCTTGCTTGCTTGCTTGCTTGCTTGCTTTGCTTTGCTTGCTTGGCTTGCTTGGTCTTGCTTGCTTGCTTGCTGCTTGCTTGCTTGCTTGCTTGCTTGCTTGCTTGCTACTTGCTTGCTTGCTTGCTTTGCTTGCTGCTTGCTTGCTTGCTTGCTTGCTTGCTTGCTTTGCTTTGCTTGGGCTGCTTGGTCGCTTGGTCGCTTGGCTGCTTGCTTGCTTGGTTGACTGGTTGCTTGGCTGCTTGCTTGCTTGCTTGCTTGCTTGCTTGCTTGCTTGGCTGCTTGCTTGCTTGCTGCTGCTTGGCTGCTTGCTTGCTTGCTGCTTGCTTGCTTGGCTGCTTGCTTGCTGCTTGGTCGCTTGGTCGCTTGGCTGCTTGCTTGCTTGGTTGACTGGTTGCTTGGCTGCTTGCTTGCTTGCTTGCTTGCTTGCTTTGCTTTGCTTGCTTGGCTGCTTGGTCGCTTGGTCGCTTGGCTGCTTGCTTGCTTGGTTGACTGGTTGCTTGGCTGCTTGCTTGCTTGCTTGCTTTGCTTTGCTTTGCTTGCTTGGCTGCTTGGTCGCTTGGTCGCTTGGCTGCTTGCTTGCTTGGTTGACTGGTTGCTTGGCTGCTTGCTTGCTTGCTTGCTTGCTTTGCTTTGCTTGCTTGGCTGCTTGGTCGCTTGGTCGCTTGGCTGCTTGCTTGCTTGGTTGACTGGTTGCTTGGACAACGAGCCCCACTGTTCAAAGGCGAACTGCTCTGCTGTGAGGCTCCATCTGCGAGCTCGCCGCTGGACCGGAAGTAGACGAAAGTCGCGGAGTCGTGGAGTCGCGGGGAACAACTTCCCGCGCCCGTTTCGGGCAGGCGGTTTCGGGTTGGAGCAAAGGGAAAGGAAGGCAACCGACACAGAAAGGTTGATGAAGGAACTCAAACAACGCGAAGAACTCGCTAGACGAATTCGAATTTGGCAGGTGGCATATGGACAAATTAGAAAGGTTGATGCCGGCGCCCTGTTTTCGGGAAAGTAGAAGCTAAAGGAACTCTTAGAATTGTAGATGTTCCAACCCCACAGCTGCTTCCAGTTCTGTGTGTTCCCTTTGTGTGGGGCAACGCTTGCCGGACTTTGTTGAAAGGAAACCGAAAAGAGCATGTGTCAAGGGGAACTCCGCAACTGTCTGAGTGGTTTTCCTTTTGCTTCTGACTTTATCTCAAACCCGCAAAGGGTACCAATGCTCCAGCAAGCAGACACGAAAACACGGTTGGCACGTGTTCAGTTGTTGTTAGGTTGTTTGGTTCTGTTCATGTTTACTAGGGGCTCCAAACTGAGTTGTTTGCTACCATACCCCAAGGATTGGAAAGACACCCGAGTGTCGAGAGGGCCTGGCATGTGTTGCTACTTTGCGACGCGCCCGGTTGTATTACCTGAGGCCTCTCCGATGAGATCTCACCGGTTTGCTAGGAGCTGCCCTCGTCCCAGAATCCACTTCTTGCCACAAACCCTCGTCCATGTGTGCTTCAGAATATGTCGTTCTTCCCTGTTGGCTTTCAAGGAATTCTATCACTTCTAGACATGGTTCTATTTTGAGGGGCCTTAAGCAGATAGGGTATCCGCTGTTGTTTCAAATTAATTGACATTCATGAGCAGGGCTGTGGGAAATGACCACTTCTGTGATACAACAAAAAGAGCTTCCCAAAGACTAAACCCCCATATAAAGGGGGAGATTCCCGAAGATATCACAGAAGCGGTTGGAAAAACCCCGAGTGATCCCACAACCCTGCTCACGAGGAATCGCCTTTTTGCCACACAAAGCGCCGGTGATTTGAATCTTCGGCCAAGCATGGCTTGCCCTCACAGGGCTTCATGGCGCTGGGTCGAAGTTGCGACCTGTTGAACTCCTCTTTTGGAAGGGAAAACGACCACACACACACCCACTCATAGCAGGCCACGGGAAAAGTCCTTGTTTTTGAACTTGGATGTTCAACCAACATCTAGGTTATGACCATGGTAAGGGGACGAACCTCAGTTACCCTAGTTCTAGCCATGGTTGTAACCTGGGAGCCCTAAGAGAGAGTAGACGGGGAGCGTCGCTTTTGAACTTCCAGTTGGGTGTTCCCCCCGGGAAAAGGGTTGGGCGTCCTTATGAGGAGGCTTGCTGCCAAACCAGCGATACCCCCGGAACCAGGGTTCCAGTATGTGACTACTTCAAAGGAGACGCTGACTCCCGAGGGTTATATTTCATCAGACACCACCTCAAAGGGGTTCAGCTCTACCTTGGCACAGTCAAACATTCTAGGGGTTGATTCCCCATTCTTTTCAACCATCGTTCTTCTCCAAAAACAGCTGTTTCCCCTACCCATCCTAGCTCGATTCGACCCATCGCAGTGGTCGCTGAGGAACTGCTGGAGCCCCTGCCGCTGCAAAAGAAGGGTTATCGCTGGCAGCCGCTCTGCGCGGAGGGCGCGCGGGGCGACGGGTGGAACTTCCACGCGAGGGAGATGCTGGAAGAGCAGGCGAGGCCAAAGGGCCGTTTGGTTGTGGCTGAGCGCAGTCGGCGGGTTGAGAGTATTTGTTGTTATCGGGTTGTGTGCTTGAATGCTTGAGTTGAGCTTTTCACTCTGGTTGGTGTTTTTTGAAAGTGGTGTCGAGGCAGAGCTCAGTTATCATTCCAGCCTTATCATGGAATGAGTCCGTGAGGATTTTTCGACCAACGGCGTGCCTTTGTGCGGGATCCGGGCACCCACGGGTCCTTCAAGGTCGGACGGTTTCCGCGCTTGAACGGACACCTGCAACAGTAGGACCTTCAGTTGGGTTGTTTCCTCTTGGTTTCTCTGTGTGTTTCCTTTTCGTGTCCTTTTCCACCAACCCCAAAGAGGCTCGGTCGAGCCTCAAAAAGCGCGCATAGACGGCGGTTGCTCCAAGGCTTAGAAAGGAAGCAACCAACTTGGGAATGTTCCGGTGCTTGCATGCTCAACCAACTTACTAAGCAGGTTACTTCACCATGGGAAGGTGCGGATCACCCCAGTTGCACCAAAGAAACACAAAAGCATGGTGATAAGCCAGACCTGACGTTGGTTGAACATCCCAGTGCGTCACACTCAAAACCCGGGCAAATGGAGGGTAGCAGACAATCCCGGCCACAAATGGCTGTGGCTCAAAAAACCGGCACCAAAATGGAACCCTGTTAAGTGGAAACATGACCAAAACCTGCGTCACCCCTCCTGTTTTTAATTTTGAGCCGCACCCAAATGGGTGCGGATATTCGCCTTGTCAATTCTCGAAACCCCGGCCATTTTTATGCCAATCGGCTTTGAAAACATGCCTGTGGGGCACAAGAGATTCGGACACCCCCTGTCTTAAAATAATCCAGTTGCTCAAGATTTGCTATTTTCCAACCTGTGGTTTCAAAGGGGGGGGGGAAACTGAAAAAAAGAAGCCAAAAAAAACGGATAATATTTGGCTCTTTTTGTTCCAGGGACAAACAAATCGCACATGGAAGAAATGGGGACTGGCTCCATGGCAAGGGCCGCGGGGCGAATTGAATCCCGAATTGAATTCGTTTCGGAGGAGCAAACTCTGGGCGTTTGGTTCCCCTGGACAACCTCCACGTGCTGAAATGAATACTTTGGTGCATTTTGCTTGGCTGTTAGGACTTTAACTAGTGGGTTTTCCACTAAACCACTAAAAGTTAAACTTTTAGCAGGGGAGCAGAAAGCAACCGAGAATATTTGCCCTTGGTTCCCCTTGGTTTTACAGGGACGCTGAAAAAAAAAACAGGACCACATGTATGAAGTTAGGTTTAACATGGTCAGAGGTGAAAATCTTACCGCAAACAAGGTATCAAGCATGAACACCCATATTTGCTACAAGTAGGAGTGTTTCAAGAAAGCAACTCCAAGAGCAGGCCACCCGTGTACTACAAGGAGTGTTTCAAGCAAGTAGCTTCAAGAGGTACCCTAAGAGCGAGATAAGAGAAGACAGCCGGAGGCCATCAAGAAGCGAGAGAAGACCAGTCGAAGGCAGGCGGCTTACGTGCCGTACGGAGTCCTCACGAGCTATGATCTTTCGCCCGCAAAAATGGGATGTGAGGGCCGGGGGCCGGTGGGGGGGGGGGGGAAATGTTTTTTGCAGCTTGGGGCACCTTTTTTTTTCCGATATACACATATGCTGATTCAACGCCGACTTGCAAGGGGAGACATGGCAGCGGACAAAGGCGACTATTAGTGAGCGTGTCTTTTTGGGAAACTTGTTTGGTTGGTTTACAGGGAAGCCAAGAGGAAACCATCGTTTTCAACGGTTCGAAGTTCAAGCCCTATAGCAACTAAGAGCGATTTGTCGGAAACCTGTTTTGCTTGGTGTTGAGGGAGTACAAGTTGTGGGAGGTTACTGGTTCAAGTCCTGCCGTCCTACCCCTTCTCTAGAGCATTCTGTAGGGAAACCAACAGGGAACATAACAAATATTTCTTGAGCGAACAGTTATTCAAAACCGCGGAATGTTACGACCTTTGTAATCACTTTGAAAGGGAAATGGCCCTGAAGCCCACAGCGCTTTGACTGAGAGGTTATCACAGTCATCAACTGAGAACGGACCGACCTGAAATGACCTTTTCATTTCCCCTTCCTGGCAACCGCTTTTAGAGCTTAACTTCCGGGTCACGAGTAATATTGACCCCATATGAATCACCCCTGTTTAACGCTATGTCTCCACTCAACCCAGGGACACCCCCATAACAAACAGGGGTTGATTATTACGGTGGATGGACGAAATCCTGCACCACCCTAACAAACCCGGAATGGTTCGATTTCCCTGCAAATTCCACCAAACGTTGTGGTTTCCTATGGTTTCAAAGTGCTGTAGGATTCTGTCCATCCACAGTATGGGGGCAGAATAGTCTGCCTTAGTTTCAAAAATAATTTGCTGTCAAAAAAAGCAATGGATTATATGTTAGTTGTCCAAGGTGTCATTTGGTTAAGAAAAATACCGTGAAAAATAAGAAAAACTAGAAGACGCGTCGCCCGAAAGCATTTTCCATGACACGCAGCCTGAATCGGTCCATTTTTTTCCAACTATGCATTTCACTGTCTACTTTGTGCATGCCTCTATGCATCTCACTGTGTACTTTCCCTGCGCATGCATCTATGCACTTCACTCTGTGCTTGCCTTATGCATGCCTCTATGCTTTTCACTGTCTACTTTCTCTGTGCATGCATGAATGCACTTCACTCTGTACTTGCCCTACGCATGCCTCTATGCATTTCACTGTCTACTTTCCCTGCGCATGCATCTATGCACTTCACTCTGTGCTTGCCCTATGCATGCCTCTATGCATGTCACTGTCTACTTTCCCTGTGCATGCATCTATGCACTTCACTCTGTACTTGCCCTGCGCATGCCTCTATGCATTTCACTGTCGACTTTCCCTTCGCATGCCTTTATGCATTTCACTGTCTACTTTCCCTGCGCATGCATCTATGCACTTGACTCTCTGCTTGCCCTATGCATGCCTCTATGCATTCACTGTCTACTGTCCCTGCGCATGCCCGTATGCACGTCACTCTGTACTTGCCCTGCGCATGCCTCTATGCATTTCACTGTCTACTTTACCTTCCCATGCCTTTATGCATTCCACTGTCTACTTTCCCTGTGCATGCGTCTATGCACTTCGCAGTTTTTGCACATCGGCCACGCCGATCCCTGAGAGGGTCTCATTTTCGCAGAGTGCGCTTGGTCCCGCCGCGCCGCCTTAAGATGCTAATGTTAAGAGAGCGTGCAAATTTCCTGATGCAAGTTAGGCTTGTGCGAGAAGGAAAAGTTAGGCTCGTGCGAGAAGGAATGCAAGATCGCTACGCATTTCACTGTGTACTTTCCCTGTGCATGCCTCTATGCATTTCACTGTCTACTTTCCCTATGCAATTGAGCTGTGCAGAACGCAACGACTTTATGGGAAGAACCCTTCGCAATGCTTTCGGGAAGAAAACAGGGGCTGATTCATATGGGGGTGCTCCCCTCCAAAAGTGATGATTGCCCACTAAACCAGGGACACCCCCAAGCCCCCCCACATTAATAAACAGAGGTTGATTATGGGGACAACCATTAAAACTGGTGTGTCCGTGTGGTCCGTTCCGCAGGTGCCCGGGCCTGGTGGACGTGATCTACAGCCTTCCGGCGGTCGGTGTTGAAGAGGGCGGCGAGGCCGCTTCCCCTTGAAAGGGAAGGAGTCTTTTTTTTCATTGGGGTGGTGTTTGGTTAGGGATTCTTGTTACATTTTTTGGGGGGGGCGGAATATGTGTTTTTGTTGAGTGGTTCTGCAGGGACTGTGGGTGAACTTAACCATGTGTTACGGAAATGAGATCAGGGTTGAATGTTGGCAAGACTAAAATGACTTGTGGCTATTTGCCCATGGCGGCTCCAAGGGTTGGGCACAAATTGAGCATCCCAGCCAAAAGGAGGTTGGGGGTTGGCCCACCTGATGCCTCCCATGGGACCATTTCAGTGGAGAAGATGGGGGAAAAGGAATCAGGCCCTCCGCGGAGTAAGTGGCCCGTGCCGTTTCCCCCATTTCCCCCTTTAAGATGATGATATTTTGGGGTTTAGCCTGGCAGATCCTTGCAGTAGTGTCACAACAGCGGCCTCGTACCACGGATGTCAGAGCAACTGTGTCCAAACCGCCTGGGCGAGTCACAGGGAGCACAAGTGAAGGCAAGGGTTGCTTCTGTGAAAGACCAAAATATGGGCGTGTATGTTTGTTCTTTTTGCCGGGAAAGGGAGAACCAGTTTTTGAGGGTGCCCCTTTGAGACAAACCGGTACTGAATGGAACCCTTTTGGAAGGCTACTTACCGTGTTTTTCTCTGCGAGCCGTTTGATACGGATCCCCAGCCCCAGCCCCGGCGAGGAGGTAGAGATCGTGCTGAGCCAGCGCATGGAAGGCGTCCGGTCGAGTTGACTCCGACCAATTTTCTCAAGCCATGCTGCGAATGTTTCAAACTCGGGTCTCCAAAGGCCAATCGTTCTTAAGAATCGCCCGCGCCACGGGATTTTGAAATGGATCTCTTTGAGTTCGGAAACATAACATTGAGTTAGGACTCATTTCAAGGCTTCATCCACCAAGGCCGGCTTTTTTGGGCTGGAAACGAGGCAACCCACAAGACCCCTGCTTTAGGACACGTGAACTGGGGCCTCTCTGAGTTTCAACCACAAACACCTGAGAGCCAGCCCTCATGTTCCCATATCTTTTTGGGATGTACCCTGAAACATAAGATATCCCTTGAAGGAGATCCCAGAGAATACGAGGAAACATGCTGCTTCAGTCTTCAAATGCATTCATAAGCAACAACTAGCTCTCGTTCTCGTGACCAGCAGAAGTTTTCACTTGGGTGACATTTCACTTGGGTTAACTTGGGTTAACTTGGGTTACAAGGTCTGGTAAAACCCACACCCTGCCGTTTCCCCCACAGCGTTTGTTCTTTTTAGGGACCCCCCCAAAAAATGGCGGTTGTCCTTTTGGTTTCCTTCTAAATCCGCAGAAAAAAAAGGGTAGGCCAAGTGAGAGTAAAACCCTCTTTCCAGCCCACAAGCCAAGGGTTTCAATAAGCAACTGGGATGCAAGTTTGTGGGTACGCTAATTTTGGGACCCATGTCTCGTTTTGAGTTGGTGCCCGTTTTGAGTCGGTGCCCCTTTCCAGGTTGAAGTGAAGCCACCATCACTATTGGTCTGTTTTTAGTTGCGTTCTTTTCACTCTTAGTAGAGGGCCGCACAGAAACACGGTGTTTGGCTACCCAGGCTTGTTTCTGCAGAAAGGCGCTTATCTCCAAAAAGCACGAATGTGCTCTTGAAGGCAGTGGCTTGCAAAGCCTTTTTTTGCCACGACATGTTTTGCAACAACAAGGGGGTTTATATCTTGGACTGGAGACCGATTCGCTGCACAGTAAACACGCTTGTTTGGCCACCATATGGCTGTGGCTCACAAAACCGGTACCAAAATGGCTTGGTAAGTGGAAACACGGACTTCAAAACCTGCGGTTTGCCCCTCCGATCGTTTAATTTTGAGCCACCATCTGCAGGGAGCCCAAGCGCCCGCCGCGAATCCGAGTTCGCGGCTTCTTTCCTCGAGGCCGCAGCTTCCATCGGGTGCCGATCGGCTGCGAGTGCCGCATGGGGTGCCGGAAATGCTCCAAGAACAGGGGGCGCCTTGGTCGGAGGGGGGGGGGGGTGTTGGGGGCGGGGGAGGGGCGGGGGAGGGGTTTGGTGAGTTTGGAGGAGGGGGTGATTTGGATGAGCGGGGTGGAATTGGTGGCGCTTGGGGGGACACAGGCAATCTGGCCCCAAACAAGCACGCGAAAACCTGGTTACAAGCCACTTGTCGCCGCTTCGATCCGATCCCATTGTGTGACCCGAGCTTTGCTGGATGTGGGTGTTGGTTTGCTTCGCTGCGACGCGGTCGGAATGAACGCCGGCGGCACGAGGCGCGGAGCCCATGGGACCAACAAGCTGCTCGCGCCAACAAAAACACTTATGCTTTTACACTGGCATCAGCCCAACATGCGTCCATCTTTAGTTGCCTTTCCAAAGCGCTTGCTTGACTGGTCTGCGTACGGTGATGCACTCTGCGAAGGCTGCGTCAAATTGCTGCTTCAGCCAATCATGGCCGCAATTTAAAGTCAAAGTTGTGGAACATGTCCATCGAAAAAGCGCTTTGACAAAGACGTGCACTGTGACACCTTGGCCAAGTCATTAACAAGCTTTGGAGGTCTGGGATAGCCTATTTGCGGACATTCACCGGCTTTGAATTTGCACCAGCGCTAGTGGAGGTTAGTTGATTCGCTCCACTATGCTAGTGCGCCTCACTAATAGTCCCTTGGAGCAGTTGCGTTGGTTTTTCTCATTCTTGTGCGAGCTCTCGTTCAACTTATCTAATTAACAGAGGCCCGGTTCACCGTCGGAGTCTCCCTCATGAAACCCTCCGCAGATCAACCTGTGGCAACGCGGGGCGCGCAGAGCCATCACGTGTGACAGATTAGGATATGGGTGTGGCTCAAAATTAAACACGAGAGGTTACGAGGTTTTGGTCCATGCTTCCACTTACCAGGGTTCCATATACCGTTTTTTGAAGCCACAGCCATATTGTTTCTCGCTTGACGTGTTGGGCCTTGCTGTGTTACCTCAGTGATGGAGGAACCTGCAAGCGGGCAACTTCCGGGACATTCGCCCTTGCTGGCGGGGTTTGGCTTTGACCCAGCGCGCGGTACGCCCGGGCATAAGAAAGGCTGAGCGCACATTTGTGACGACCCGAAGACAGCGCGGTCCGAGCTTGCTTCTGAGCGGGCCAGTTGCTGTGACTGGGCTGATATATGACGAAGCGTGCCTGTTCTCTCGGAAAGGCCGCGAGAACCCTGCGGCAGCGCACCCCGTCCGTGCGCAGTTTGTTGAAGTCGTGAGGGACTTGCGGCAACTGATTCCGGGAAGGTTGGGAGGGTGGCGCGCGCAGTTTTTGGCAATCTGTCCAACTTCATTAATTCTGTGCGCGTGCCCTGTCTTGAGCCGATCTCAGAGGCGCTTGGCCAGTTTCCCGTGCTGGCGTCGTTATGTGTGCGGCGTAGTCAGCATTGCCTACAAAAAACACGGGGCGGCAGGAGGCGGGTCTTGATGGATACGATCGTGACTAGTGAGTGTTGGACCTTGCGGGCCTGCTTTCAGGCATTGAGACATGTTGCCCTTTTTCTGAAAAGAGCGAAAACAAAACGAAAGAGGGGGAAACGGAAACAGAGGTAGCGCGAGAGACACGCAGACAGACAGAGGGAGAGAAGAGAGGGTGAGAGTGAGAGAGAAGAGAAGAGAAGGAGAGAGCTCAGAGACCGAGAGAGAGAGAAGAGAGATAGAGTGACAGAGAGGGAGGTGCGTGGGAGAGGCGGGGAGAGAGAGACCGCTCCAAAATCACACCTTGCAGCTTGCCCAGGAACGGCGGCTTGTGCAAGGGGCTGGCTGAGACCAATCGTGTCAAGCGCCACTCGGCGAGGAACCGACGTCGGTTCCACGCGCTCGGGATCTGAGATGCGATGTTGGTTTGTCTCAAAGAAGCGCGGAACCTCTACTAGTCCCCCAGCTAGGTGCCCTTTCTCACCGTCTCTTTTTGGTTGGGAGGGTTCCCCTACTAAAATAGACTACAGAAAAAATGGTACCCTTATTCTACTTGGGTGGTTGGCCAAGTTAGCAAGTGGTGAGCAAGCTAGGCTATAGCGTTAGACCGTAAACTTACAGCTGGGTTAACTCCACTTGGGGGACTTACAAGTACGAGCTATAACCTAGGTTACTAGCCACAAACTAACTTTGGCCGGCCGCCCAAGTACAATGAGTAGTTTGCTTTTGGTCGCCCAGGCAAAAACATGTCGGTGGCTTACCCTGAAACAATGCACTCACCCACGTGAGCTTTGGGTCAGGTTCGGGCGCTTGACAGGAGCCCCGAAAGGAAGCTCCCCAAAATGGTTTGCACCTGAACGTGGTTGTTGTTGGGAAACATTTTACATTTTTGCTTATTGCGGTTGAGTGGGAAATCCCCTCTTAATTGCTAAAATTGAAATTGTTGCTCCCCTTCCAACGTCAACCAAGTGAATACCTGGAAGATATCCCTGAGACGACTTACTGGGTCAAGGGCGGTTGCAAACAGGGGTTTATATCAGGTTTTGTTTGTGGCCTCACAGGTCCTTGTTGCTCCCCAGCAGCTCGCAGCTTGGGGTCTCTGCCCAGATTCGTCTTGTTGGTGCTGGGCCAACGCTTCACCAAAAGCGACCTCTGGCGTCGTGGGCAATGCCCGTGTTTGGGCGGTGGAACGGGGATGCCTCTTGGGCTTGTTTGGGTGCTCAATAGTTTGGGTCCAACCAGAAACCACCTATTTTTGGAGTTCCTCTCATTCGAGTATTACTCTCACTTCCTGAGTTAGACTTCTTTGTTGGCTTGGACCGTTTTGGTTGTTGAGCGCACTCGAATTTGGCGGTTTCTTCGGGCCAATGCACGCAGGAAGCGAGGTCTAAGATTGCACCTCGCCCGGAACGTATGAGGCATGGCGCTGAGGCGGCGGGCCTTTTGCGAGCAGGACGAGGCCGAGCTTCGCGGTCGTGGAGCTCTTGTCGTGCGGGTCGTGGTGAGAAAAAAGGCCCATGGGTACGTTGTCCTTTTTGTTTCCATAAAGGAAAAAAACAAGGTGCAAGGGATACCCTGCAAAAAGGATCCAGATTTCAGTTGAATTCCGAAAGAGAGGCTCGATTGGGGCTTGCCCTTTGAGGCCATTCGCCCCCTGAAGATTTCCTCATTACCGTCCCCTCAAAAGTGGGGATTTCATCTACTGCGCTGCATCTCTGGGGGCTACTGGCATCTAGTGGCACTGTACCCCGGTAGATAAATGGCTATAGGGGGATTCCCTTGTCCAGGTCCAAGAGTGTGTCACCAGGGATACAGCCACGGTTAGACGTGCCCTTTCACCTTTCTACTTGGGTGCCTGTTGCCCAGTTGCCCCACGTTGCCCCCTTTTCCTTTTTTTCTTTTTGGGAAGGGTTCCCCTTTAAAGTCCACCCAACCCCAAAAAAACGATAAGATTGAGGCCGGTTCGCTTTTTTTTCCCCCGTGGAAATTTCCTTTTGGCATCTGAGGTTGCCAGGTTACGGCGAGGCTTACCCAGGTCTATCTTCCGGACGCGGACGCCGCCAGTTCCGTTGATCAACTTTGATTTGGGAAAGTCCAGTGACGCCTGGCAACAGCTTCCGTTTTGGCAACAGCTTCGGGTTCTTTCGGGGATTCTTGCAACATGCTGGTCTTTCTTTTGGCTTCCCTTTCAGGAAAAAGGTGACATCAACATGGGATGTCCATTCCAATCACTTAATAACCCAAAACACACCAGCCGGAATTGTGGTCCCCACGGGACGGCGCCAGCACGACACACCCCAACCAAAATGCATCCCTTGGAAAAACCTTGGGACTCCCAAACAAATCACACCAGCACAGACCTCAGATCATGCCAATGATTGCACACCAGAACCTCCAACAGCCCCCCCCCTTTTTCCCTGGAAGAGCGCCCCAAACAGCACCCGGCCACCTCCAACAGAAACAGCACCTGCAGTACCCCAACCTGCATGCTCTCTAGATACAACCGCACCGTCACCAGCCAAAACACCACCTGCAGCACCCCACCCTGCATGCCGCCTTGCGCCCTACCGTCAAGATGCAAAATGCGCCGGCACCGTCACCTGCATGCCCGCTAGCACCCAGCTGTCAATCTCGCGAAAACATGACCGCACCGTCACCAGCACCGCAAACAGCGCCCCCAAGCATAACAGCACCCCAAATTTCCAAACAGCACCCTAGCACCAGCCCATCGATCTCGCAAGTCACTTGCCCTTCAATTAGACTAGGTCCCCCGGTAGTTCCCTTTCTACCCTTTTTGGGTTTTTGGGTTCCCCTACTAAAATAGACTACAACAAAAACATCGGGTAACCTTATTCTCACCTCTCTAGTGGAGGACCTAGAAGTTAGAATCCCTACAGCTTTCAGCTAGGGGCAAAAGCCCGAGGCTTTGCATGACCTGGCCAATCGCCACCTGGACGAGGCTGGCTCTCCAGACCTTTTTTTTTTGGGAGGGGGAGAAGACAACCTCAAAGAAGAGTTAGGCGATTTTGGTTGCCCCCTTGTTGTTCTTCTTCTCGTTCTTTCTTTTGTTTGTGAGATTGGTAGTGGTATTGTTTGTTTGCTTGCTTGCTTGCTTGCTTGTTTGTTTGTTTGTTTGTTGGTTTGTTGGTTTGTTGGTTTGTTTGTTGGTTTGTTGGTTTGTTTGTTTGGTTGTTTATTGGTTTGAATGTTTGTTGTTGGTGGTTATTTTGTTGGGTGAGTCTTTTGGTGGTGTATGTTTGCGTTGGTGGTATAGCTTTTTTTGGTAAATGTGTTGCACAATTACTCCCCTGCAAATTAGCACAGACCCAAGAAGGAGGTCCCCAAAAAGTACCGTTTGTTTGTTCCATGCTAATTTGTAGGAAATGGCATCAAGCAGCGCAACAAACCAATGAACACTTGCTACGCCAGCGGTGGCTCCAGCACGCAAGCCGAAATAAATACATTCCTATCCAACTATATATATATACACACATGTACCTGAGCCCTCAACATGATCTGAAAAGATTGTAGTTACCCTGAGCTCCATTTTTAGAGTAGTTTGAGGGTCCGCGTATATTGATGAATGATGTGTCATGTTTTTTTTTTTTTTTACGGTACCCCCGTTCGCTGGTTTAAAAGGAAATCTGGGGAAGCAACATGAAACACTCTGATTTGGGAGGTCCCTAACACAGACCCGGTTCAACCAGCCATCCGGTCCATAGGTGGTTTTTTGTTGTTCTTAGTTGGTTTAGTGATTGGGTGTCCATTCTAAGTCCCCCAGTAGTGCAAGCTTTAACTTTTGGTAAGGATTCACCGGGGGATGACGGCCTTTAGTGAACGCAAAGCCAACTACCAAATGCTGCGTGAACCATCCCAATATTATGGCCTAAATACTTTCACACGCATCCCGTTTGGTTTCGACGTAACCCATGACAACCCAATTCTATTGATTTAGACTCCAGCACCTTCTACTTCCATTTGCTTAAGAATATGTTTAATTTTTCCTTAAGGGTGTTAAAAGGAGTTTATCACTGCTGTAAATATTTTTTATTGTTTCGCATTTGGTCTTAACCAAACGAAGTCTAGAACCTCCTTTTAACCCATAAACATCATGGGGTACCAAGAAACCCTTGGGTAGACCTCAAATATTAGGACCCACGCTTCTTATCTTTGGAGCAGGTTTGGCCTGATGTAGAGTCCGGAAAAGTCTAGCTAGACCCCATGATGTTTCCTGCATTCTTGCTCATGCAATTGCAGAATTGGCAAAGCGTTATTATTATTATTATTATTATTATTATTATTAGTATTATTATTATTATTAATATTATTATTATTATTATTATTATTATTATTATTATTATTATTATTATTATTATTATTATTATTATTATTATTACTATTATTATTATTATTATTTTTATTTATTATTTTTATTATTTATTATGATTATTATTATTATGAGTTTCTTAGATGTCTTAGACTTGTTTTTAGATGTTCTTATATTTTTCAGATCTTCTTGGATGTTTCTAGATTCCAGATGTCTCTAGAAGTTCTTCGAGTTGCTTGGCTGTTTGGCAGTGCTTTTCTGGCATGCCTTTGTGACCAGCCTGCCAATGACAAGCAATTACGACCAGGGAACCACACACGCCATCGAAAACGCGTGACAGGGTAGATTCGTCGAGGCCTGGCTGGGCGTCCCTAAGCAGCTCACAGAAATCCAGCTTGTGCAAGGTTAGGTTTCACCAAGGGCCCCTCAAGGCCAGCCCCTAGATGGTGTCTATGACCAGATGTTGCAACGTAACCCACAACCCAATCCCAGTAGGCCCAGGTACCTTCTAAGGCACTTTGACCCTCTTTTTCATTTCATAAGCACCAACCCATAGTGCCAAGTCGACTCAAAGAGAGAAGGCCTTGCCCCAACTTTTGCCCAGAGGATCTGGAACACATCGACCAGGAGCTCCTTGAGGTGCGGGTTGCTGGGCTTCAAAGGTTCTTCAACTTCTTGCTGCAACCAGGCATCTAGTTCATTCCTTCTATTTGTTTGGTCTTGAGTTGGTGAAAGCTGGGACTCAGCCATCCTTTTAGGTGTTCTGAGTTGGTGAAAGGTGGGAATCAGCCATCCTGTTCCTTCAATTATTTTAGTTTTTAGTGGGTGAAAGGTGGTTGGGTGTTATCATTTATCAAATTTGACCCAGTGAGGGCAGCATCCAGGGGGCCCTGTACAACTCTGAGCTGCTAATTGTTTCCTATCCACAAAACGGCGGCCATACGTATCATGTTGTCATGGTTCCGTTGGAACCGTTACCATGGGTGCTTAAGTTCAATGAGGCTGCTGATCGTCCAAGAGCATTTTGGACCTTTGGAAGGGCACATTGTCGGTACTCAAAATCCGTGAGCCACTTGCTCAAAACCGATTCGGGTTGGTAAGGTTCGTCAGGGGAAGGCCCAGCCGGAAAGAGGTGCGGATATTTCCGGCTTCTTAATTCTTGAAGCATGGATCTAAATTCACCATTTTTGTACCAGGTTTTGAGCAAGTGACTCATGTGACACATGCGGAGTTTCCTCGTTCAGGTGGCAAGCGCCAACTGGCGAAAGGGCGACTCCAGAGCTTCCGAATGAGATCGTTTCTTTAGCCTCCTTCCAGCAATGGAAGTGGACAGGGAGGTTTCCCAAAAGGAAAGCTCTTCAGCAATTGCTGAAGAATATTTGTGATTTTCCTCGGTTGGTTTTCAAGGGAAGTAAGCAAATGGATTCCTCCGGTTGGCCGGTTTCCTTTTTTGTTTCCCTCTTTTGAAGCAGAGACCCAGCACAAGCAGCACCAGTTTCCTTTAGACATGAAGCGAGTTCGCATGCCCCTCCTGATCGAAGCCCTAGGCTTGACGGTCATCCTGGGCATCAAGCCAAGCAACGGGATGTCTCGTCTGCAAATCAAATTAGCATGCCCTGAGGGTCCCGACTGTTTTTGGATGTTTTTGGGCCCTCCAATTGGGTTGTTGTTGAGGGCCCTTGAGGAATTGGTCGGGGTTCTCCATTGGAGGGTCCCGGGGTCTGCATTGGAGGGGTCATGACCCTTGTGGAATCCAAACAGCGGAGGTTCCTCTACGAAGAAGAATAGCCATCAATCGAACCAAAAGTAGCGACTTTTCGGGTTCCAGCTTACTTGGAGCGCAGCGAGTTCGGGATTTCTCAAAGTGGGTCCCCTGGAATGGGTGGTTCCTTTTCGTTTCAATCTAAACACGAAAAGGGGGTCGAAGCACTTTGGGGTCGAAGCTCATTTGTCTTCTCAAAATCGGGGAGCCCAAACATGCTTTCCCTTTACCATCCAACAGGACACAGGGGGGTCTTTTTGCCACCTTTTGTGGAAGAATGCTCGACCCTGCAGTGAAGGATTCCTTTTTGAGGGGGTCGCCAATTTTCTCACAACAGGTGGCAAGAAATCCCATGGCGCAAATTTTCGGATTCCTTTGGTGTCAGGACATTGATAAGTTGCCTGTCGACGCGGAGGCGGGGGGTCGTGCAGGCGGAGGATTTGCGAGGGGTTTGTGGGGGCCTCCCGCCTTACATTCCCAGAAGGATGACCTTGGTGTCTCAAAGTAGCTAAGTAGCTTCTAGGTGCTTAAGAATATGTTCTTGGTGGTTCGCAGCCGTCCGGTTCCTTTGGTTTTTAGTTGGTTTTTAGTTTGGTTTCGTCCGTTTTCATTGAACCCACAAGTGAAGCTTGCACCTTGCTGCAGACTGGGTGCGCAAGGCTGGCCGGGTTTGCTTTTGGGTTCCCGGGCTCCTCTTGTTTTCCAAGGGACAGCAAATGGGGGACGGGGACCCCAGGGTGATTTTTTTTTTGGGCCTTCCTTAGAAAACCCTGCAAAAACAGGTCCCCCACCCCTTATGAGTGGGGGATGCAACAAGCAGAGTTGGTTGTTCTTTTGGGGAACCCATAGAAACCCATAGAAACCCATAGAAACCCATAGATGTCCAGCATTTAAGTTCCAAACCCACTTGAAAAAGGCGCGCGCTCAGGGCGTGTTCTGAGAAAGAAAACAAGCCTGGGAGCTTGGCCCATGGCCAACAAGTTCCCGTTTCTTGGGCGTTTCTCCTTGGATTCTTCTTCTTTTGGGGGAGAGACCATAGGTGGGCTTTTTGGTTGGTTTGCTGAGAGAAAATCGAGGGCGATTTTGGGTTTAGATGGGGTTCATGCCCCATTTAAACCAGCGAAACCCATCGATTTTGTCCAAAAGGCCACCTATGGGCTGCGGACTTTGTAGATTGACGCACCCCCAACATGTTCCCCGGAGTTGGGTTAAAATGCTGACTATGACATGAGCGTAAGCCTCCCTTTTGGGCCCCTAGGTCAGAGCCAGGACACCTGAATTTGGGGAACCTGTGACAGTCAGAACACCTGGAGAGGTCCCAGAAAAAAGTAATAAACAAATAATAATAATAAAAAAACAAACATAATAATAATTAAAAAAAACACAAGAAAAGCAAGACAGGCGCCTGTACGGTCTAGGATCTTCAGAAGAATTCACGGGCGTCGCTTTCACGTTGTGATTCACACACGTCCCAGCGCTAAGTAACCCTTCGGGTTTCTTACCAGGTTTTACATGATGGTTTCCCTTTGTTACCTACGATATGCTGGCGCAACGTTTGGAAGAACTGGGATTCGTAAACACCAAGAACAGCAACACCGGCACGGAACATCCAGCCTATCGTGTCCCTTTTTTTCTTTTCTTTTTTCGCGTTGCTACCCTTTTCGGGGTGGAGGGAAAGGGACAACCACCACTCAAGATTTCATCTAGCACTTGCTACAGTATACTTTGACCTGTTTGTTTGGTTGATTCAAAACCAGACTTGACAGCCCCTGCGTTCCTTTGCCAGGCTATCGATGAAGGGCCTTGCGATGGCGCTACGGAGGCGCGATTTTGTGCATGCATCCAACAAAAGTCCTTGCGAAGAATGAGGGAAGCTGGCCGAAGCATCAAAGCTGTTGTTGACGGCTCTTGCTAAGTCGCTGCGGTTTATTGAAGCTTTCTCAAGGGCACGCTTTTTGGGCTGGTTTCAAAGGGAAAGCGAAAGGAAACCCACCATTTGAGGTACCCTCTGTTTGGACACGTGCCCACCTGCACTGTTTCGCCTGGAAGCCCTTTGTGGTAGCGGACTCCCGTTCCTCCCTTGCCGTGAAACCTGCGGAGAAAATGTGTTCGACCGTTTTTTGGCTCGCGTTGTGCGTGTGAGTGTTTTCTTCTTGCTCTTGGTATGTGTTGGGTCAGAAGAAAACCACCCGGGGACCGCATGTTTTAGTCATGTCCTTGAGTCCCTTTGCCCGGGTCCCATTTTGGGCACCGATTTTTGGCCCACTGTCATGTTGTTTTGTTGGTGATCTCACACCCTACGTTTTGACGTGGGCAACGCGCGTGGCCAAAACGCGCGTTTCTGAACTCCCGTTTTGCACGTTTTGGGAAAACGGCGGTCTGGCGAGTGCTGGGCGACTTAAATGCTTTTTTGCCCTGGAATAAAAGCATATGTGGTCCTACTGGCCAACTTTCTACAAGCTCTACGGGGCAGTCATTTGCACGCCCGGCGACTTAGATTCGTTTCTTGCCCTGCAGTAAAAGCAAATGTTTACTGGACAACCTATATGAAGCTCCACAGGGGAACACGATGCCTTTTTGTGGCCCCGCAGCAAAAGCTAATATGTCTGGACAGCTTGAGAAGCTCTACAGGGGAACGCGGCAGTTTTTCACGTATCGGCGACTTAGATGCCTTTTTTGTTTTGCTTGCCCTCAAGCTCTCCAGATGCTAAATGTTGGTTTGAGTGCTTTTTCCCAACCCCGAAAAACGCATGTGTATGCCTCGCGGTCGCACAGAGGCCCCCGAGTTGTTTGCTTGCCCTGAAGCTCTCCACATGCTAAATGTTGGCAATAATTTTCCCTGCGTGTGTGTGTGTGTGTGTGCGTGTATAAGATGGGGCTGCATGCTTTTTCCGGAGCCTGCAAAAAGCACGACCGCGTAGTCACGGCGGACCCGCTGACGTTTCCAAACTTAGCCGGACCCTGCACTCGGTCATTGCGCCTGCTGTCCACGTAGTCACTGTGAACCCGCTTACGAAATGCGTTCGGGCCTGTAAGTACGGTGAGCCCATTTTGCTGGCCCCCGCACAGGTGGGTGTGTGTGTGTGTGTAAGATGGGGCTGCATGCTTTTTCCGGAGCCTGCAAAGAGCATTGGGACAGTGACCGCACAGCCACGTTCCAGAACGCGCGTTTTGGCATACGTTCCAGAACGCACGTTGCGCGTGGTGCGTTTTGGGGCTACTAAGTATTGGTGCCCTTTTGCTTCCGCCGGGGAGTCGGCGTATGCCGACATACCAGGGGGTTGGAAAGGGGGAGTCGTTTCTCCATAGCCAACGTGTTAGGACCCCTGGTCCCTTTCTCAACGTGCCGTGGATGCCAGACATATTGCACGACCTGAACAAAATCGGCGGATTGCCCTGCTTTGAAACGAAAGACATGAAATACCTGAGCCGTTTGGAGGCACGTTGATTCTCCAAAGATAAAAGCACGTCGGCCAAGCCTAGGTCCTTCTTCTAGCCTCTCTACTCGAGGACCTAGAAGCTCTACCAGTTTCATGCCATTTTCCGAAACGGGCATGTGGCTCCCTGCGTTTTCGCACCCTCCCCGAGGTGTGACCGGGGAAGGGTGGCATGGCCCTCTACACGAAGGGGATCAAATCCAAGTCCAACCTAATCCGACCAAGGGAAATGATGTCCGTTGTTTGTGGCCAACAGGACAAATAAGTGTGGTTTCAAATTAAAGAGCTAGGGTTTCGCGTTTTTTGGGCTTTGGTTTCATTTGCCCCATCCATTTTGGAACATGAATCTGAGCCACAGCCAAGTGCTCCTTTCGAATGTTCAGGTGCTGCTCTCCCAAAAATAGATGACCCATTCGTCGGATGCGGAAGAAAAGGACACCCAACAGAATATTAGCCAGTTCTGGCGTCCAATGCTTGTTTTCAGAAAGACCAATGTTCTTGAGGACTTGTCCATTGCAGACTGGACAATGACCCGATACCGTTGAAATGCGAGTGTAGCCAGAAAGAAGACACATGAGGCAGTTGCCCTGTAAGTGAAGTTCCACGTTGGTTTTCAACAACGCTTCGACACGTTTTCCCTTCTGCAAGCTAGACGATCACACTTACCGATTTGTTTCAGGCAGTTGGCGGAGAATAGTTGAAGCTTTATGTACACCAACCCACAACCCACTTGAAAGAACACCTAAACCACCCCCTATTTTTGGGTAGAAAAACAACACCCCTTTAACCCCCCTCCCCCCAAAAAAAAATGAAGAAGAAGAGAAAGACCAACCGCAATACCCTGGGCGTCCTCGACCATACTTTTATGTGTCTAGGCCATACACTGCGCCATTTATAGGTCTTTAACCAGTTTATGGCCTCTGACCCTCGCCCATACGGTTAATGGTCTTTGGAAGCAAAGGGATAAGTAAACACGCACATTTTGATAGAATAACTTGTGCAAAAAAGTAAATGCAGAACCGCCCAGCTCTTCGAACATCGGCTCGCCAGGTGGCGAGCATTTCGTCTTTCCTGCTGGTTGATTCGGACGCAGCATCCACGGCTTCGGAGGCTAGTTGGTCCCTGATTTGAAACAAGCGGAGTTATATATAGACTCTTGCGGACTGGAACGTCAACAATCTCACTTCACAGGAAGCTCCTTTTGCCGTTTTGGGTTCCAGGTTAGTCCGCAGGAGAGTAATTCAGCCGAACATACGTTCGGTTGTGCGGATCCGTTTGGGGGGTGCAGAGCTGGCGAGGCTGTGTCTGCTCATGGGCGTGTGTGTGTGTGTGGCCACATCTCTTGCTCGCATATCACTACACCCTGGAACGGGCCCTGCGCTAAACATGTGCAGAGTGTACAGTGTCTTTGAGCGCCCGTTGGAGGCTGGGCGCATTTGGAGTTCTGGGCAGTTTGATCACCACCTGGCGTGACCGAGTTGAATCCCTGAAGGTGGTTTTTCGGCCCCTTTCCTGCACCCGCCAACCCAACCAAACCGGGATTTTGGAGGGAACAAGCAGTTGTTGGGGCTGATATCGGTTGCGCTTTGCTGCTTTGCTGTGACTCGAAGAACCTTTCACACTTTTGACCGTTGGAGATGGCTATGTCCAGTGAATGAACCCTGATCTTAGTTGCCCTAGGGTGTGACCTTCATCCTGTTTATCTTTTGAACAATGATAATGTCCAAGCACTCACACGCAGGTGATTGACTTGCGGGCCAGTTCGATCCACCTAGTTTTGGAGACTTTAGACGCAGCTGCTCTTTTGGAGGCTCCCTCGATATTTCCCCTTTGAGTGATTTGATTTTAAACATCGCATCGTTTAGCCCATTTGAGGTGAGTTTCTGTTGGTAGGGTTGAGTTTCTTAAGGGACGTACAGGGGATTTTGTCTTTCGCCCCACCTCCTTTCGCCTGCCTATGCCTGTGAGCAGTCGCGACGGGGCCCCTGCCCACGTCTCGACCGATCTCTCACGAGTTGTGTACAGCGGACAGCCGCTCGCCAGCCGGGGGCAAAAATGACGCGTGCGCATGATGCGAGCAGAAGGCATGAAGGCATGACAGGATTGGTCCGCCAAGGGTGAAACCCACTTTGGGTCGGTAGTTCTTGTAGGTTCTAGGGTTGAAATCCTCTACCTTGGTTGTTGTTGGGAAACATTTTACATTTTTGCTTATTTTGGTTTAGTGGGAAATCTCACTTAACTGCTAAAAGTTCAAATTGTTGCTCCCCTTCCAACGTCAACCAAGCTACTCTGCCAAAGGAAAGGTTCGCGGGGACCTGTGCTTAGAACCCTCTCTTTGCTTCCTTCCGAAGCTTTCCATGGCGGTCTGGCTGGCTCAGGGAACCATCCAACTGGTGGTTTCCTTTCGGGGAGTCCTAAAAAAACCTTGGACTTGGATTCTCCGAGCGCGCGTTTCTTTTGCTTGCTCGGCGCCCCGGGCCTTTCGAGGACCATGGGCGGGCCTTCGCGGCGCCCGAGCCGAGCGCGTCGAGTCGGCCGAGGCGGACGCGGCGCTGTGGGCGCTGCGGCGGTGGCCGGTGGCGAAGGCGCCCAAGGCGCCGCCGCGGCCCTCACGGCTGGAGCCGCCGTATCTGGACGCAGGGCGCCCAGGGGGGGGGGAGGAGGTGGGGGTGGGGAGGTGGGGGTGGGGAGGTGGGGGTGGGGAGGTGGGGTCGGGAGGTGGGGTCGGGAGGTGTTAGGTGGGGCACCGCGCCAAAATGTCTTAAAAACGTTTTCTGCTTGGCTTCCCAGGAAAAAAAAACACCCAGCCGCGGTTTCTCCATGTTCCCCCCACGACAGACCCATTTGGGCTTCGCTTGAAGGAAGCCACGCGCTGGGTGCAGTTTGGAGCCTCTGAGGTATTCTAGGCTGCACTCCCTCCCATATGTTCTGCATCCGTCCGCGCAAACACCACCCACCTCGTTTTGGCGGACAAGTTTACTGGCTCGTTTTGAGGCGAAGAGTAGCCTTTGAGGGAAACTAGCGACAAAGGACATCCATTTAGGGCCCTCAACTGAGACACTCCATGAGTTCCTGGACTTGAAACTTTTGGTCTTTGGTGCCACGTTCTTTGGCCAATCTCGATTGGAAGTGGGAATTTGACAGAACCCGCATAAACCCAATCTAAACCAGTGGAACCCATCTATTTGCAACCAAACTAGCCCAAGGCTTGGCTGTTCGAAGGCTTAATCCTTGCCTTGGGTCATGCGAGGCTTTCCCTTTGTAGCGTCCAACAGGGATGGATGGGGATTGGCCAACAGGAACTCTTCTGCACAGCCCGGTCCTTCTTGGGACGCCGGTTGCTTCAGGATCCCACCTTCATCCACCCGGATAAGCAGAACCAGGGCGAGCGCGAGTGGCTCATGAAGCACAACGGCGGCAGCGTCAAGGACTCGAAAAACTCGAAACTCGGGCCGAAACGGCGGCGAGATGCGGCGCGGCATCGGACACCGTCTTTTTGGGGTTGCAGGGGTTCGCCCATCCCCCGCAAGAACGGAACAAGACACGTCTACGAAAGTGACGTTGTATTTGACAGCGAAATGAATGATTGTTGTAGGGGTAGTGTCCCTTTGGACCAGAATTTAGGGGCCAAGATTTGCCACCCATCCTGCAAGGCGTTGGGCCCGGCTAGCAACACGGTCTGGCAAAAAGCACTTGACATCACATGAGTCTACCCAAAACTGTGCAAAGAACCAAAAGGGCAGAACCTTGCCCCTACTTACCTTTTTGTGGGGTGGTGGGGTGCCTTTCGTTGTGTTTCCAGTCGCTTCGGCTTGCGCTGGACAAAACCACATCCCCTCCTAGATAGCCAAGTTGCGATCGCGTTTTTCAGTCTCAGTTGCTGGTTTTTGGGGTAAAGTGCATGGAAAAAAGCGATCGCAACTGGCGATCCAGGCTGTAACTAATGTATGGCCGCACATGTCGTACCCGACAGTCCTAAGCGTCAGAAATCCTCGGGTCCCGAACGAAGGGGCCCGGGACTTGGAGGCGAAAAGCCAACGTCAGGTAGGTTAGACCCATGGAACTGACTCGCCGAGGTTCTGGACTTTTGTCACTTTGTGGGATGACCGTTTTAGGGGTAGAGAAGAAGTTTGAACCTTTTTGGAGCCAAGCCACCCAGGAAGTGAGATGGTCAAGAGTGACTGGGGTGATTGTCCACTTACAAGTAGATAGAGATAACCTACGTACTAACTTGGTTGAGCATCCGAGGGCCCAGTGTTCATCTCTCGGCATCGCAGGAGTTGCCGGGCTTGCCGGATGAGTACGAGTGGATTAAGGAGCATCGGCAGCTCAAATCTGAAATCTGGATTTGGCATGTGATCCCCACAACTGCTCACTCCTTGGAAAGAAACCTTCGAGTCGGGCAGATGTGGTGGATGCCCTACATATTTCAAGCAATTTTGACTTCGCAGAAACCCCCCAGAAGTAGATAATTTGCTTACTACAAGGGCGACCACCCCTGACTAGTATGGTGATTATTTCCAAGTTAACATTCAACCAGCTACATCCAATCACAAAAAACCATGGCCAAATGAGGGTGTTTGTTGCTTCCCACTGTATTTAAGGCATATATCGTATTTTGTCAAAACAATATTAAACAAAAACAATGTAAAAAAAAGAAGAAGAAAAAGAACAGGTGGAAAACGGTACATGAAAACTAACTACAGACAGATGCTGCGCTGCATAGTTGTCTTGGCCTTTGGCTCCTGTGGACTTGCGTGCAACAACGAGTCGGGACATGCTCCTGCCTTTCGGGGTTGAGCTCGATCGGGGAGCGGTTCGGAAAAGATCAACAACTTGCCAAAAGTTTGCTTGTAGGGTTGCCTTTGGTTCCCTTTGGTCTCCTTTTGGCCTCATTTTGACTTCCTTTTGGATTCCTTTTAGGTTCCTTCTGGCTGGTGTCCCTCTAAGTTTTTTCTAGTTCCTTCACTCAAAAAAAAATCGATATTGTTTTTTCTCCAAGGGCTGGTTTTTTTTACTAGAGCTGGTCCCCTGGTTGGTTGGTTGGTTGGTTGGTGGGTGGGTGGGCGGGTGGGCGGGTGGGTGGGTGGGGTTGGTTGGTTGGTTGGTTTGGTTTGGTTTGGTTTGGTTTCGTTTGGTTTGGTTTGGTTTGGTTTGGTTTGGTTGGCTGGTGGGTGGGCGGGTGGGTGGGTGGGGTTGGTTGGTTGGTTGGTTTGGTTTGGTTTGGTTTGGTTGGTTGGTGGGTGGGTGGGTGGGCGGGTGGGTGGGGTTGGTTGGTTGGTTGGTTTGGTTTGGTTTGGTTTGGTTGGTTGGTTGGTGGGTGGGTGGGTGGGTGGGGTTGGTTGGTTGGTTGGTTGGTTTGGTTTGGTTTGGCTTGGTTTGGTTGGTTGGTGGGTGGGGGGTTGGGTGGGGTTGGTTGGTTGGTTGGTTTGGCTTGGTTGGTTGGTGGGTGGGTGGGCGGGTGGGTGGGTGGGGTTGGTTGGTTGGTTTGGTTTGGTTTGGTTGGTTGGTTGGTGGGTGGGTGGGTGGGCGGGTGGGTGGGTGGGTGGGTGGGGTTGGTTGGTTGGTTGGTTTGGTTTGGTTTGGTTTGGTTGGTGGGTGGGTGGGTGGGGTTGGTTAGTTGTTTGGTTTGGTTTGGTTGGTTGGTGGGTGGGCGGGTGGGTGGGTGGGTGGGGTTGGTTGGTTGGTTGGTTGGTTGGTTTGGTTTGGTTTGGTTTGGTTGGTTGGTTGGTGGGTGGGTGGGGTTGGTTGGTTGGTTGGTTTGGTTTGGTTTGGTTTGGTTGGTGGGTGGGCGGGTGGGTGGGTGGGGTTGGTTGGTTGGTTGGTTTGGTTTTGTTGGTTGGTGGGTGGGCGGGTGGGTGGGTGGGGTTGGTTGGTTGGTTTGGTTTGGTTTGGTTGGTTGGTTGGTTGGTGGGTGGGTGGGTGGGGTTGGTTGGTTGGTTGGTTGGTTGGTTTGGTTTGGTTTGGTTTGGGTTTGGTTTGGTTGGTTGGTGGGTGGGTGGGCGGGTGTGGTGGGGTTGGTTGGTTGGTTGGTTTGGGTTGGTTTGGTTGGTTGGTGGGTGGGTGGGCGGGCGGGTGGGTGGGTGGGGTTGGTTGGTTGGTTTGGTTGGTTGGTTTGGTTTGGTTTGGTTTGGTTGGTTGGTGGGTGGGTGGGTGGGTGGGCGGGTGGGTTGGTTGGTTGGTTTGGTTTGGTTTGGTTTGGTTTTTTTGGTTGGTGGGTGGGTGGGCGGGTGGGTGGGGTTGGTTGGTTGGTTGGTTGGTTGCTTGTTTTTTTTTTTGGTTGGTGGGTGGGTGGGCGGGTGGGTGTGGGGTGGGGTTGGTTGGTTGGTTTGGTTTGGTTTGGTTGGTGGTTGGTGGGTGGTGGGTGGTGGGGTGGGTGGGGGTGGGGTTGGTTGGTTGGTTGGTTTGGTTGGTTTGGTTTGGTTTGGTTTGGTTTGGTTGGTTGGTTGGTGGGTGGGCGGGGGTGGGTGGGTTTGGGTGGTTTGGTTTGGGTTGGTTTTGGGATTTGGTTTTGGTTGTTGGTGGGTGGGGTGGGCGTGTGGGTGGGTGGTGTTGGTTGGTTGGTTTGGTTTGGTTTGGTTTTGGGTTGGTTGGTGGGTGGTGGGTGGGTGGGTGGGCGGTGGTGGGTGGGGGTGGGTGGGTGGGGTTGGTTGGTTGGTTGGTTTGGTTTGTGTGGTTGGTTGGTGGTGGGTGGGCCGGGCGGGTGGCGGGTGGGGTTGGGTTGTTTGGTTTGGTTGGTTGGTTGGTTTGGTTTGGTTTGGTTGGTTGGTTGGGTGGGTGGGTGGGTGGGCGGGTGGGTGGGTGGGGTTGGTTGGTTGGTTGGTTTGGTTTGGTTTGGTTTGGTTGGTGGTGGGGTGGGTGGTGGGGGTTGGTTGGTTGGTTGGTTTGGTTTGGTTTGGTTTGGTTGGTGGGGCGGGGCGGGCGGGTGGGTGGTGGGGTTGGTTGGTTGGTTGGTTTGGTTTGGTTTGGTTTGGTTTGGCTTGGTTGGTGGGTGGGTGGGTGGGTGGGTGGGTGGGTGGGTGGGTTGGTTGGGGTGGGGTTTTGGTTTTGGATTCCGGTTTATTGGTTGGGTTCGTGTTTGGTTTGGTTGGTTGGTGGGTGGGGTTTGGTTGGTTGGTTGGTTGGTTTGGGTTTGTTTTGGTTTGTTTGGTGTGGTTTTTGGATTGGGTTGGTGGGTGGTGTGGGTGGCGGGTGGGTGGGTGTGGGTTGGGGTTTGGTTGGTGTTGGTTTGGTTTGGTTTTGTTGTGGTGGGTGGGGGGTGGGTTGGGGTTGGTTGTTGTTTGGTTGGTTTGGTTTGGTTTTGGTTTGGTTTGGTTTGGTTCGTTTTTGGGTTTGGTTGGTTGGTGGGGGGTGGGTGGTGTGGGCGGGTGGGTGGGTGGGGTTTGAATTGGTTTGTATTGGTTGGTTTGGTGGTTTTTTGGTTTGGTTTGGTTGGTGGGGTGGGCGGGCGGTGGGTGGGTGGGGTTGGTTGGTTGGTTGGTTTTGGTTTGGTTTGTTTGGTTTGTTGGTTTTGGTGGGTGGGTGGCGGGCGGGTTGGGTGGGGTTGGTTTTGGTTGGTTGTTTGTTTTTTGGAGTTTGGTTTGTTTGGTTTTGGTGGGTGGCGGGTGGGTGGGTGGGGTTGGTTGTTTTTGGTTGGTTTGGTTTGGTTTGGTTTGGTTTGGTTGTGTTTGGTTGTTGGTTTGGTGGGTGGGTGGGTGGGTGGGGTTGGTTGGTTGGTTGGTTGGTTGGGTTTGGTTTGGTTTGGTTTGGTTCGGTTTGGTTTGGTTTGGTTTGGTTGGTTGGTGGGTGGGCGGGTGGGTGGGTTGGGTTGGTTGGTTGGTTGGTTGGTTTGGTTTGGTTTGGTTTGGTTGGTTGGTTGGTGGGCGGGTGGGTGGGTGGGGTTGGTTGGTTGGTTGGTTTGGTTTGGTTTGGTTTGGTTTGGTTGGTTGGTGGGTGGGTGGGCGGGTGGGTGGGTGGGGTTGGTTGGTTGGTTGGTTTGGTGTGGTTTGGTTGGTTGGTGGGTGGGTGGGTGGGCGGGTGGGTGGGTGTGGTTGGTTGGTTTGGTTTGGTTTGGTTGGTTGGTTGGTGGGTGGGTGGGCGGGTGGGTGGGTGGGCTTGATTGGTTGGTTGGTTTGGTTTGGTTTGGTTTGGTTTGGTTTGGTTTGGTTGGTTGGTGGGTGGGTGGGTGGTTGGCGGGTGGGTGGGTGGCTTTGGTTGGTTGGTTGGTTGGTTGGTTGGTTGGTTGGTTGGTTTGGTTTGGTTTGGTTGGTGGGTGGGTGGGCGGGTGGGTGGGTGGGGTTGGTTGGTTGGTTGGTTTGGTTTGGTTTGGTTTGGTTGGTTGGTTGGTGGGTGGGTGGGCGGGCGGGTGGGTGGGGTTGGTTGGTTGGTTGGTTGGTTTGGTTTGGTTTGGTTTGGTTGGTTGGTGGGTGGGCGGGTGGGTGGGTGGGGTTGGTTGGTTGGTTGGTTGGTTGGTTTGGTTTGGTTTGGTTTGGTTTGGTTGGTTTGGTTTGGTTGGTTGGTGGGTGGGTGGGTGGGTGGGGTTGGTTGGTTGGTTTGGTTTGGTTTGGTTTGGTTTGGTTTGGTTTGGTTTGGTTCGGTTCGTTTTGGTTTGGTTTGGTTGGTTGGTGGGTGGGCGGGTGGGTGGGTGGGGTTGGTCGGTTGGGTGGTTGGTTTGGTTTGGTTTGGTTGGTTGGTGGGTGGGCGGGTGGGTGGGTGGGGTTGGTTGGTTGGTTGGTTTGGTTTGTTTTTTTTGGTTGGTTGGTTGGTGGGTGGGTGGGGTTGGTTGGTTGGTTGGTTGGTTTGGTTTGGTTTGGTTTGGTTTGGTTTGGTTTGGTTTGGTTGGTGGGTGGGCGGGTGGGTGGTGGGGTTGGTTGGTTGGTTTGGTTTGGTTTGGTTGGTTGGTGGGTGGGTGGGTGGGCGGGGCGGGTGGGTGGGGTTGGTTGGTTGGTTTGGTTTGGTTTGGTTTGGTTTGGTTTGGTTTGGTTTGGTTTGGTTGGTGGGTGGGCGGTGGGTGGGTGGTTTGGTTGGTTGTTTGGTTTGGTTTGGTTTGGTTTGGTTGGTTGGTGGGTGGGTGGGTGGGCGGGTGGGTGGGTGGGGTTGGTTGGTTGGTTGGTTTGGTTTGGTTTGGTTTGGTTTGGTTTGGTTGGTGGGTGGGTGGGCGGGTGGGTGGGGTTGGTTCGTTGGTTGGTTTGGTTTGGTTTGGTTTGGTTTGGTTTGGTTTGGTTGGTTGGTGGGTGGGCGGGTGGGTGGGTGGGGTTGGTTGGTTGGTTGGTTTGGTTTGGTTTGGTTTGGTTTGGTTTGGTTAGTTGGTGGGTGGGTGGGTGTGCGGGTGGGTGGCTGGGTGGGGTTGGATGGTTGGTTGGTTTGGTTTGGTTTGGTTGGTGGGTGGGTGGGTGGGTGGGTGGGGTTGGTTGGTTGGTTTGGTTTGGTTTGGTTTGGTTTGGTTTGGTTTGGTTTGGTTTGGTTGGTGGGTGGGTGGGTGGGTGGGTGGGTGGGTGGGGTTGGTTGGTTTGGTTTGGTTTGGTTTGGTTTGGTTTGGTTTGGTTTGGTTGGTGGGTGGGTGGGTGGGTGGGGTTGGTTGGTTGGTTTGGTTTGGTTTGGTTTGGTTTGGTCTGGTCTGGTTTGGTAGGTTTGTTGGTTGGGTTTGGTTTGTTGGTTGGTTGGTTGGGTTTGGTTTGGCTTGGCTTGGTTTGGTTTGGGCTGGTTTGGTTTGTTTTGGGTTGGTTGGTTGGTTCCCTCCCTGCCAGGATGCAGCGGAGAAGGATGAGAATGCCTGGATCGCGGTGAAGAAGCGCATGTCCAAGGCGCTCAGCTGCCTGCCGGTTTGACGGAGCGGAGGAGACCTACCCATGTGTTTTTTTTTTAATATCAATATTACATTATTATTTGGTTTTGGGTTTGTTTTTGTTTCCCGATTTTGTTTGTTTGTTTTTTCCCCCCGGCGAATCCCAGTGCTTCCACACGTTTCTTCTCCAACATAGTGCAAAACACAAGGGAAGTCACGGAAAGCTTAGAGGTATGAAATCTTGGTTACCCATTTGAATCTGAGCTGAAAGCGCTGGGAATGATTCACTTCGGATCTATCTGGACAACATCGGTTGTTTTCCCCTGTCCAAGCCTTTGAAAATGGCGAGCGCCTTGGGCAGGAGTATAGTTCACCCAGACCTGGGGGAGCATACCACGCTCAAACGGCCCGGCAGGTCAGGATTGGAAGCCGATCTCATGGGACATGTTTCCGATTCGCTTTTGTGGCACCTCTATGAAGAGAACTTACCATCGGGACGGTTTTTTTCCAGTGGAACAAGTGGAAAAATCCAGACAACAGGAAAGGCAATTCTGGCAGCCTTGCATGAGACGGGTTTGTCTGCAGAAGGATGTTTCTTTTTTCCGGCGATGGAGGTTGTGAACCACACATGCGGCTTCAGCTCCCCGTCGTCTTCCTTTGAAACCGGCACGAAAGGTGCCCTTTGCAAGAGACAACCCCTAGTGCCGTGTGGCAAGGCAGGTCTCCCTGAAAAGCAATCGGGCTTCTTTTCAAGGCCGAGTTTCAACTGGTGTTCCCTTCAGAAAAGGCAGCCGGCTTTCCTTGAACCCAGTTCGGCTTCCCCGACAGTACAGTCCCCCTCCCGGGATTCCAAGTTAAAGCCATGTGGGTGTGGCTCCCATTTTTTTAGAGCCTTCAGGTGTTTGTCGCTTCCGTGTACCACGAAAATTAATTCTTTTCAATTTCTTGCTTTCCCATTTGAGCAGACTGCTTCCGTCCCTGACCCCCCCCCAAAAAAAAAGAAACAAAAGAACAAAAACAACAACAATTGAACTGCTCCCCCCCCGCCCACCTCCCAAAAAACACCAAAACACGAAAACTGAACTGCCCCCCCCCCCGCCCCCCTCCTCCCAACCCAAAAAAACAAAAGCCAACAAGCACGGCTTGCCGTTTGCTGCCTCCCGGCCGCGGCTTACCCGTTTGCCCCACGCAACCCGTGCGGCGAGGCGACCTTCGACGCCATCAAGCGCGCCACCGCGGAGCTCCAGGACGCGGGGCGCTCGGCCGCGTCTCGGCCCCGCGGAGTCAGCGAGGCAGCGCGCTCCAGCGAGGCAGCGGGCGAGTTCAATTTTGTCGTTGGGAAATCTCAGCGAGCGGGTAATCCAAAAGAGGGAACCCGACCTTTGCATGGTTGTTGACTTGGGAAACATTTAAAAATACAAAGAACATAAACATAAAAACACATGTGTTCGCTGAAATTGTGGTTGAGCGTGGTTGAAATCCAACCACTTAGCTGCTAAAAGTTGTTTGAATTTGTGCTCCCCTAACCCAACGTCAAGAGTTGGCGAAAGGAAGCTCGAGCCAAGAGGCGCGTGGCTGATCGGAGTTCATCCCTCTCCACTTCTGTGATGCTTCTGGTTCGGCCTTCGTAGTTGTATCACGGAAGTGGACTTATCATATTTCCCACAGCTCTCAGCAGCGAAAAGAAAAATGCCGACTGGGAGACCTTAAAGGAAACCAGCCAACCAATCTGGCGAACTGAAGTTTAAAGTGTAAGAGTTAGAGCCGAACTAAAGAGGTTCGTGGAGCTTGTTCTCCCCGAAATGATGCCAACTAAATCATATGGGTCTGCCTCAAAAAAGGAATTGCCCCCTTTTTGAATGGTAAATGGAAACAACAGGAGACCAACGACAGGGGTCCATCATTCTGAGACACCCATAGGGGCAAAGTAACTACAAATTGGTTTTATCCCGACAACCATGCATCACTAAATGTAGTTTGTGTGAGTACCCCACGACCACATTCGAAATGTATTTCGCTTGTGTAAGGCAACTTCACTGTGGTTGCCAAGTGATTTGTTTTTGCCTTTTCGGCTCTGTTCATTTCTAATTAGTCGCCCGCAAAGCACAAAGTTGTTTGCTACCACACAACGTGTCGTAAAGGGAAGCAAAGCAGCCAAGGCAGTGACCAAGGCAAACCATCAATTATGTAGAACCAAGTTATTTCTAGTACCGAATTCCTGGAAGCACTGGGTGAGGCAAGCAATGCAACCCTATTGCAACCACCAACCACTTGGTGGGAATGGGCAAATCGAGGCCTTGTACCTGCGCCAGCCACACCTCATCCGGCAGCAGATCGAGGTGGCTATGGACCAGAACAAGGCGGGAACGTCTGCGGCTTGGTACTTGGGTGTTCGGGCAAGCTACTACGCGGTGGGTAACCTGGGTTACAACCTCCTTGTAAGTCCCCAAAGGGAAGTTAGCCCAGCTGTAAGTAGGTTATAGCTGCCTAGGCTACTAACCATGTACTAACTTGGCCGGCTTGCCCAGTGGATTCCGCCCTTTTTGCTCCTTGTTTTTTTGGAGAAGGCTTCCCCTTGAAACTGAACCAACCAAGAAAGGATGTTTTTTTTTGTTTGCCATGAAAGTCACTGGGCTTTTGAGAAGCTGCAGCATAGCACAATGGTTCTTTTACCTTTACCCGGGTGTTTGGAAGGCTTGGGATTGGTGCTAGCAGAGGAAGCGGGATGAAAGATGCCTGGGATCGCCCGACTAGTTTTGCAGGACGACTCAAACAGCAAGCAAGACGTCCCAGTGGTTCAGTGGAATCTTACAAATCCTTGGTATTTGGTGTGGGTTCGAGACCAACGAACCACAGCGCAACTCGGATTTGGGCCTGATATAAGGGTTCATTCGGGAATGGAGCTGCAGCCCACCCCAAACTCCAGAACACCCAAGTCCGGCTGATTTTTTGTCGAATAAAACCCCAAAGCGTCTACTGTTTTTTTTTTTTTTTGTGTGTGTTTCCGTTACCTCAAAGGAGGAGTTTTGAATGGACTTTAAATGATGATCTGGTTGTGTATCGATTTATTGAGGCTCAGTACCTGTTCCTGCGGTTTCAAGGGAAACCCACTTGGGTGTGGCTCAAAATTCAAGAGCTAGGGCCAACCGCAGGTTTTAGTCTTTGGTTCCATTTACCAAGGTGCCATTTTGGTACATGTATTTGAGCCACAGCCACTTGGCAACTCAAATGTTCGATCCCTTCCTCTGTGGTTTCAAGGGAAGCCACTCGCGAACAGCACCCGGCGCTTCAGATCGGACGGGGAGTCGACTCGAGTAGGCCGGCGAGGGGCCCAGCAGCAAGGCCATCATGCAAGCGGAGGATGGCTCTAGGGAATTCGCCGGCGCCATGTTTCGCGCGGTTCTTTGGACTCCCGGAAAAACCACCATGTTTCGGAGAGTAGGTCCCCCAGCTAGGGGCCCTTCTCTCCCAAATCTTTTTTGGTTGGGAGGGTTCCCCTACTAAAAAGACTACAGAAAAAAAAGTTGGTACCCTTATTCTAACCTCTCTACTGGAGGATTTAGGAGTTTAGTTTGCATCCAAGGGGGGGGGGCTACTTGGATTGCTGAGAATTTCAATAGGGAACCACCTGCAAAAGTGGCGGTTGAGAGAGGGGCAAGCTGGGCGAAAGAAGGCAAGGACAAGGCCTTGCTTACACACCCAAAATGGACAAACTAACCGCAGTCAGCGGTCAGTGACAATTTTGAGTGGGGCATGTTCATTTATGTAGGAGTTTCGGAACATTGGCCAAACCGAGGCATGGAGTATTGTTTGAAGAATGCTACAGATACTGATATGTGGCTGTCTTGTTGAGGATACCCCTTTTCTTCCCCAGAATTAGCTGCCCTTTTTGCTTTTTTGCTTTTCCCTTTGTTTTCCACTAACCAGGCAAACAAGATATATTTTTGCTGGGGTCCTAATTCCAGCCAAGTTTTGAAGGGAAACCAGGAGAATCGAAGCCATGGGAGTCTCTGCTCCATTGGTGTTCAGCGAGGAAAGCTCTGCTTTGAGATGCCGTTCGGCTGTTTGGAAAGTTTCCCTTGGTGTTTTTTTCCCGAACATCTCCGAAAGAAAAGGAAAGACAAGAACGTTTAAGACAGAGACAACGAAAAAGAAAGAAGGCAGGGCTTTCTGCAGTTTCGGTAGATGACTTGGTGTTAGCCCCTAATTTCAGTTGCTTGCTTGGTACCTTTGCCTTTAAATTGTTTCGTGACACTCCCAGGCGGAACGTATGAACCCCAACACCAGCCACAATGGGGCCTAACATGCCAAATGCGCTCTGATATATGGGCTCGTGCGAGCAGCCTTTAAGTGAAAGCCACGGTTTCTGTTGCTTACACACAGTTGCCCCGAGCCAGCAAAAGTCGACCGACAGAAGGAGAAAATCGGAGATTGCGTTGCCAGACCTCCGGCGGGGTGCCTCTTTTTGTTTCCCTTTTTTAGTTTGGAGGGAGCCTCTCCTAAGCTAACTGCCCCTTTCAGGGTGACCTGTTTTGCTGGCTGAGGGTTTGGTTTCTTTTGTTGCCTTTTGCACCACTTGTCCTTCGCGCCAGGATCGGATCGTGCAGCCTAGGTGTCGGGCGATTCTAAGAAAAATCGAAACAACATCAACGGCGACGCCTTCTCGACCGTAGGAAGCTAAGGACCCCGAGAAAACACGTACTGTGGATGGACAAAATCCTGCACCACTTGGGAACAATGGGAAACCGTTGTTCATTGGTATTTACAAGGGGATCATCATCTCCAGGGTTTCTTAGGTGGTGCAGGATTTCGTCCATCCACAGTATGTCTTGGCTTTGGCGATGTGTGTGTGTGTGTGTGTGTTCTTGGTTTTCTTTGAGGCAGTTGTAGCCTTGGAGGGCCACCCAAAAGAAGCCACCTTTCTGGGATCGCCTTTTTTGAGACCACCTTGTTTGGCAATTGCAACCTCGGCCAGACTCATTTCAATCAGACTGAGCGGAGAGGCAACTTGGGGCGAATCCCGGCCGGCCGGGCGGTATTCGCCCAGAGTTCGCCTGGCCGCGAAAAAGCATCACTCCGAAAACTCCAGCGAGCCGGCCCACCCCAGTTAAGGGAGGGGGGGAACAAAAAGCGCAAAAAGGAAGATCGAAGAACTTGCTTGGACCCCCGCCCATTTTGAGGGGACCCCATTTTGGCTTAAACGTCAAGCCAAAAGTAAACTCACTATTTTGGGGGGTCAAATCCCCTGCCATTTTAGGGGGGTCAAATCCCTGTCAACCTTTTGTGCGGCTGGGTGAATCACTGCAGTGGAGGCATTGATCGGAATGATCGGAAGCCTGAGCCTTTTCCCTGCTAGGAGTATGCCAAGAAGCTGGAGGACCACGAGAAGGCGGGGCAAGTCGAGCAGGTGGCAAACCCTTGCACATGGGATGTTGCCCCAAACTCCTTGGGTGAGTTGCCTCTTTTTTATGGAACTACCCCTTACTCCAAGTACCCGCCCTTTTTTCAGGTGATTTTTTGGAAACACCTGGTTTTCCGCAGTAAGTACCTCCTTTTTTAGTAGAGGGTCGACATCCACTTTGAGGTGTAGTCATGCGAGTTTCCTGCTTTGCTATCACAGGTGCAGTTCGGTCGAGCTCAGTTTGGTCGGTAGGCGGCTATGATTTCTTGACGGGAAGCCCTGAGTCAAACCCCGGCTCTCGAGGGATGGGAAGCCGCCCAAGCCTCCACACCACCAAACCACCCGAATGGAATTGGAGGGTGATTTCGACCCCCTCAATTTCCATTTCTGGCAACCCAGGCTCCCAAATCTATAACAAAAAATCTAGATACATGAACCCGGCCGAGGACCAGGAGGAGCAGCGAGAAAAGGAGGAGGCGCGCACGCCGTGCGCTCGCGCTCGCCACTCCCCGGTCGACTGAGTCATTTGAGTCGTGAACTAGGGCTGTCAAAACCAAAGCCGTGTAGCACATTTGGTCATCAGAATCACACTTTGGGTAAAGCTCACTTTGGGCGCACTTTGGGCTCACTGGCTCACTTTGGGCTCACTTTGGGCTCACTGGCTCACTTTGGGCTCACTTTGCCCTGTAAAGCTCACTTTGGTTGCCAATTTGAAGTGAGCTTGCTGGAGGGGGGGGCTGTGGCGGTGTTTCAAGGCAAAGACTCGCTGTTTGGAAGGCCCTGGTGCGTTTGTCGTCCCATCCTTAGCCGGGCCCGACGCCAATGGTGGAAGTCTCATCCAAAAGCCAAGGAACCAACAAGTGTTTGGTGCAGTTTTGCAGAGGGATGTTAGGGCTGAACAACTTGCTTCCAACTAATGGGTTTTCCAAATTAAACCACCTAAAAGTTAAAACTTTAAGCAGGGAAGCAGAAAGCAACCAACAAATGTGGACCCATCCAAGGCTGGCGTACCATCTTTGGCGTGCCATCCTTAAGGGAAGACCACCTTTAAGGAACACCATCAAAGGATGGACCCATCTTGAAGCAAAGCCAGGGGTACCGAGCTGTCAGCAGAGGTCCGCCCAAAGGCTTGGCCTAAAGCGTCACTTTCTGTAAGCGCTTACAGTCATGTGGAGAGAATTGCAATATGTGTGTGTCTTCTTTTTGTGGAACACCTTTTTGTTGTGGTTTTACAGGAAGCCAAACGCGAAGCAGCATATTTTGTTGGCGTGTGCCCTAAAAAAACACATATATAGCAATATGATACTGTGGAGGGACTATATCCTTTTCCTAGTATTTATATAGGGTTTCATGGATTCTGAGTGGTCCAGGATTCTGTCCATCCCCTGTATGACTAGATGAGTCCTATTTTGATATGCGTGTGGCTCAAAATTTAAGAGCTAGGGCAAACCGCAGGTTTGAGTCTTTGGTTCCATTTACCTTTGTTTGGTGGTGCAGGATTTCGTCCATCCACAGTAGGGGTATGGCTCAAAACCCTGGGCAAATGGAACCAAAGACTCAAACCTGCGGTTTGCCCTAGCTCTTAAAATTTTGAGCCACACGCATATCAAAATAGGACTCATCTAGTCATACAGGGGATGGACAGAATCCTGGACCACTCAGAATGCAAGAAACCATAAGAAACCCTAGAGTCACATAGGGCTGTGGCTCAAAATCAACCCACAAGGAATTGGACCGCAGGTTTCAGTCCATGTTTCCATTTACCCAGGTGGATGCCACGGATCCATGAGCCACTCGATTGAGCCACGCCCCGTCGAGCGAGCGGATTGGATTTGAATTCCGAAGCCGCGAGGAGCGGCTGCGGCAGGAGGCGGAGGATTTGGACCTGGAGGAGGTGCTATTCGCGGCGGGGGAAAGGTGGACGCTGAGGAAAAACCGGGGGGCGGTTCTCTTTAAAGGAACGGCCGCCAGCCCGGTATGCCAACTATCCGGCCTTTTTTTTCACATTTTTTTTTTGGGGGGGGGGAAACCCGGTTTTCCACAGTGAATACCTCCTTTTTTCGTGGAGGGTCGACATCATACCCCCAACAAAGCGGGTGTTTGGAGTAGGGGTACAAAGAGCTCCTGTGCCAAGAAAGCCCCAGAAGTAGTAAATTTCCCCCCAAAGGCGCACTGGGTTTGAGTCTATGGGGCGTTTTGGCAGTGAATTCTAGTGCAGCTGCTGCTCCAACAAAGTCCTGGCTCACAGTTGCCCAAGGTTTCAATTTCCCCGGACCAGTACCACTCGGTGGGCCGCACTCACATCCACCTGTTCGTTGAGGGAAGCTGCCTAACGACTAGCGACTTGGAGATGAAGGAGGACACGACGTCAACCAGGGCGCAGATGAAGCAATTGTGGCGCTACCGGGGCAAAGTCGACTGGAACACCTGGTCTTTGCCGTCCCTCAATCGCACGTTTATGCAGGGTGGCCCGCTGGCAGACAAAGAACATCATGGCGCATTTAGTGGACCACTTTAGTTTTACTAATCCAGGGTTCCGATTGCATTGGACCATGCCCCTGCCCACTATGATGAACATGGTGACTCAGGGTCCAAACGCTACACACCTCATTAGAAGGGGCTGGATGGTGTTGGCTATATACAACAAGGGGCACCTTGCAACCAAGTTGGCTAGATGTAAGGAGCAAAACAACTACGCAAACTTTATGGCTTTTGAGGGATCAGCGAAGTACATGTTTTCTCGAAGTGTTTCACCTTTGGGTGTTTCGAGCCCCGTTTCGGAAACCAACGTATTCGGAGTGTTTCTTCGAGACACGTCACTTTTGTACCAGTCTCGATAGCTCCGAAAGAAGAAGGCTCAGGACCCCTAAGGCTCACCCCTCCAATGCAGGCCGGGCCCTATGAAGAACCCGGACCAATTCCTCAGGGGCCCTTGAAAACAACCCATCTTGAGGGCCCAGAAATCATCGAGTTGGAGCCGAAAAGGGAAGTTGTTTTCCTTTCCATGGCACAGGCACAGCAGTGGATCAGTCCCAGACTTTGGGCCATGCGACATTCAAGCAAGGCACCTTACTGGCTGGACATTTCCAGTGACCCCTGTGCCAAACCCTCGGACTAGCTTGACATGTCATACATGGGGTCTCCTTCATCTTGTTGTGTTGGTGTGTCTTGTTTTGGGGACTTTCCCCTAAAAAGCTTCGGTTGAAATGTTGGTTTCCCTCTAGCATCACAACAACAACAAGTACCGTCAAATAGCAAACCAAAGCATATCCTCGACCAGGGAATGAACTCCAGTGGGAACTCTTCGCCGAGACTCCGAACCTCGCCCCAAAAAACGGTTCCATGTGCGTTTCAGGATATTTTTCCTCCTGGGTTTTAAAGGAGGGGTCGCAAATGGTTCATTCGGAAGACACCTGTTGATTTGCTAGAAAAGCTTAAGGGAATTTAGATATGCCAATTCCATGTTATTTTATAAGGCCTTCCCGCAAAGCACGCTCAAAGACAACCAGTTTGTTCGTGTTTTCAGAAAGGAACCTTGGGTAAGCTTTAGTTGCTGGTTTGGAGGACACCCAAGCTCTGATTCGGCTTCCCTTTGAAACCAAGCCAACTCTGAAGTCGAAGGAACCACATGGCATCCCCACCCCTTCAGCATTTTTGATTGGGAACTCCAGACTCCGAGGTCGAAAGAACCACACTGATGGCATCCCCAGCCCTTCAAAATAAATGCTTGATTGGGGGGCATGGCATCACCCCTTCAACACTTTGCTTGATCACCACCCAAGCTTACCACTGATTCGATGTGGGGAGGGGGGCCATCCGGTTCCTTAGCTTTTTAGATCCTTTTCGCGTTTAGTGGTTTCCATTTCACCCACTAAACCATTTCCGTAGTACTTTTCGTGTTTCATAATATTTTCCATTTCACCCACTCAAAGTTCGTCGCTTTGCGCGGATCCGAAAACGGGCGGCCTACGATGGAAGCGACGGGAGGTGTTGGCCATGGACCGCGCCGGCAAGAGCCAGGCGAGCCGGAGGTGTCTCTCCCCAAACGGCCGAAAAGGACCAGTCGGACAATGGCCTTTTCTTGGTTGTTGTCGGGAAACATTTTACATTTTTGCTCATTGTGGTTTAGTGGGAAATCCCCACTGCTAACATGTATTTTTTGCTAGACTTTCCTGCAGCTCTATGTTGGATGGTTTGTGGAAGCAAGCATACGAACAATAACCTCGGTACGATGGATGGTTCTAGATATTGCAAGCAGAGGCCCAGGTGTCCTTTGTAGGTTGGTTTGGTGGATAATGGAAGGCTCTGGTTTCAGTTTGGTTCTAAACATCTACCAGTGCCATCTATTTTTCCAAAAGGACACTATATGATTGCGAGTACATTAACCACGCACCACGGTGAATGAAGAAAACCAACCGCCAGCAATGGTAGATCGCAGGGTTTCCAAGGGGTCCCCTACTTCTAGCTGTTTGCTCCCCCAACAGCTGGAAGTTTTGGGGTCTCTCTCTCCGGAGTTCGGGATATCTTCCAGAGGCGGCTGTCCCGATTCCCGATACCAGCTTTTGGATCTCCCATGGCCCTGGCTTGACTTGGGTTAGTACCCCCCCCCGTTTTCCCCCCCCAGGTTCCAACCAACACTAAAGGGCCAACAAGGGCTGGACTTGGGTTCTGGGAGTGGCCAGGTCGCTTTTGACACCTTGTTTCTCACAGCGACCTGGGGTCAATCTGCCGGATTTTTTCTTGGGTCCGACCTCCCGGGGATTGGCAGGTTCCAGGCAGCTTACTCTCCCACCAACATGGAACAGGGGTCTTGGTTTGGACCAGGTTCCCCCTGTCACATGGTTGTTGTTGGGAAACATTTACATTTTTGCTTATTGTGGTTTAGTGGTTGAAATCCCCACCTAACTGCTAAAGTTTGAATTTTTGCTCCCCTTCCAACGTCAACCAAGGTCAGGGTCCCACCCCCCCCCCGGGTTCGAACATCTCCTCGGCCCCGTGTACGAAGGCGGGCTTCGCAGCCACCCACCCGGTGCAGCGCACGCGGCGACGGCTCTTCGTGAAGGCGCGCGACGGCGCTACGCGACGTTCCGGGCGGGTCCTCGTTGCAGGGGACAGTGGAAACGGTTCCTTAGCTTTTTAGATCCTTTTAGTGTTTAGTGGTTGGATTTCCATTCAACCCACTAAAAGTTAGTCACTTTTTAGCGGGGGATCTGAGGGCACCCCTGGAAGCTCCAAATGCCAACGTTTTAGGGTATCATCTCAACCCCTGACCAGATAAAACAAGAGGGATTTTCTATGGAAAACCCATGGTGTTGTTTTGTTTCTTTCAGGCAATCAAATTGGTCTCAAAGGAATTTCAGGGTCTCTCTAAGGCTCGGGGTGCCTCGAGCCTTTGCTTTGGACGGCTTTCAGTCCGAAACCAGAAGACGGGACAGCCCTTGCATATAGTCGTTCCCTTGTCCCTGGGTTTGAAGGCAAGGGCTTGCCAGCCTTTAAGAGCGGGAAAATGGCGAAGGGTTGCCCACTATAGGGGCAACTGGGATCCACTTCTAGAAAACGATTTGGATCCGTCTTCTGTGGTTTTCACCTGTTTTCCTCATCTTGGTGAGGAGTCTTTAGTACTCTCTTCATATTCTATACCCGGACCTTCCTGCATGCTTGATGTCAGCCTTTTCGCTACGAATTGCCTTTTGGGGCCATTGCGGTTGTTTTTTGCCTACAGCTTTGTTTGCTCAATTTGGGTGTTAAGCGCAATCTCCCCGAATCTACAGGCGAAATTCCCGACAAACAGGCGACTATTCCTGACCAACAGGCGGACATTCCCGACCGCGGCGCAAACAAATATGACCGCCGGCGTTATTTTTCTCGCCCTAAAAGCATTTTCCACGCCGACGGCAAACAACTTTTTGCCAACGCCTAGACTGTGTGCCTCCCCGGAAGGTCCGGTATAGGGGCGGATCCAGAAATTTGCCACCTCCAAAGCGTCGTTGGTTTTCAAAAGAAACCAAACCCCAAAACCGCAGGTCTTGCTGCGCCGGGCACGCGCCTACGAGCTGTTGGGCCAGCTGCCGCTGAGCATGGACGACCTCCACGTGGCGCCCAACTCGGGGGAGGAACCGATCCAAGCCTCGGAAGACCGGGGGGCCGTCTGGGTGCCAAATAAATCGCCCAAGAAGGCGACTTTGGACCTCGTCGTTGTTGTTTTTTTGGAGGGGTCTTGTAGTTCTGGGTGCATTTCAATTGTCTTTTCAAATGCCCAAGAAGACTATTCGGGCTTGCCGTTTTTTGCAGGACCGCCCTTTTGGTTGGTTTTGAATGGAAACCAAGACGAAACACTAGGGCCGCCCCTTCCCTTTCAGTAATTTAGTAATTCAGCATTGAGCATCGCTGTGGTGTTGGGTCCTGGAAGGAACCTGTTCTGCTGGAAAAGGCCCCTTTTTGATAGGGCCTTTCAACCCGGCCAGTAGAGGGCAGCCGGAAAAAGCAGGCCCACAAATGTTCATGACTTGCCAAGGATTCGGATGGGGTCAATGTTTGAGCTCGTGCTCACGGTTCGATCCGTCGGTATTCCTTTTCCAGCATGGGCAAGAAGATGGTCTTCCAAAGCCCTGTCAGCTTTCATTCCGGTGTGTGTTTTGTAGGGGACCCCCCCCCCCAAAAAAAAGATGGTTTTCCTGTTGTTTCCCGGAACAAAACACAAAGCAAGGGGTACCCTCCAAAAATGATGTTGTTTTCCCTTCGGGCTTCCAAGGCACCTGCCGTTCCGTTTGGTGGCTCGTGACTCTCTCCAAGAGTTCGTTGCCGGAGAGAAGCAAGTTGCCTCATTGTCAACTATTAGCGGAAAAACGCGTCTCGGAGTAGCAAGCTTGGCGGCAACAACTACAACAGCACTCTAGGCAATGAAGGGCAGCACTGCAACAAGGAACGACAAAGTAGCCACAAGAAAAGGATTGCGAGGAACAGGAACAGCTTCAAGAGACATAGCTATTGCATACCTTTGTGGTAGCCATATTTGACCGGCAAAACGCAAATCCCCGGTGCTGAGTAGCATGTGGCCCTATGTCTAATGTTCCCAAAAGGAAACCCGAATGCATAGAAATAGACAGTTTTTCTCAGGCCCACTATTTAGCACCCAGCAACAACTTTTCGCAGTCAGCTTGACATTTCAGCCATCGCGCGAATCGCATTGCCATTGCGCCCTTCACCTTCAGCGCGATGGCCGAGCTGCTTACGCAGGCATGCAGGGGGATGCAACTCACTTCCCAGTTTCCGGCTTCACTTGGCGGTTCCCTGCTATCGGGTTCCTTAGGTTTTGAGGTTTTTGGTTGGTTTAGTGGCTGAGTTTCCATTTGACCCACAAGTGTTCAACCTTTAGCGAAGGTCAGAAAACGGACATCCCAGTTAAGGCATGTTTCGGGAAGTGGAAACGCCAAAAGCGGACACGTCCTTGGTTCTTTAGACGACCCTGTCTGAGGTAAGAGAATTGAAGGAACGAATCGCTGCCTCGAGTTCCTGGCAGTCCAGTCTTTTTGGGAAGACCATTTCATTTCGGGTTGCTTTTTGTCGAGGGTACCCCGTTTTTGTGAGCGCCGTGTGCACTTCATGTGCGTGTGTGTTCGGGACAAAGATCCCCCTGAAAACTGGCTGGCCTTTCCTTTTCGGCGTCTTTGTGCGCACCCTTCCGAAAGGAGGTCTCTTTGAAATGGATGAACCCGGGTGCAACCCACTTACAAGATCTAAGTGGACTGAACCCGTCTGTCGGGGTTGTAGAACCGCCTACTAACACGACCGGACACCCAAGCAGGGGGGTTCTCGTCCTCTCAGGAGAGAACTCGAAGCTTGGCCCAGATGTTCAACCACCCAGTTTTTGGACTTTAGGAACCCCTGACAGCCTGCAACGAAGAATTCATCAGAGGCTCGGTTTTCTGTCTGGAATCACGCCCTCCGATCTTTTTGTTGATGGTCACAGATACACACATGAATCTAAGTGCGACGTGGCGTAGCCCCAAGACATGTGCCTCACCCCTTCGCGCCTTCGCGCCTTCGGGCCCTACGGGCACAGGCGCTGGCCAGCTATGACGCCGCGGCGCCTCCGCCTGACGTCTGACGGGTTTTGAAGATTTGAACGTCGCCAAATGGCGGTGTCTTTCGTTGTTGGAACCTCCGTCCTCAAGAGGTTTGATTTTATAACCAACCACAAGAGGGTTCCCCTAAAAACACAAATCAAACCACTAAAAACAAGGTTCTACGCAGGTTTTGACGTGTTTTTACTACCCATGCGCTCCCGATCAATTAAGGGCCCTCAAACAGCCAGGTTTTGAGACCCAAAACAAAACAGAAGGGCCGGTCATGGGACCTGCGTTTTGGCACAGCCATAAAAAAGCAAACACAACTCGAGAAAACAAAAAAACACAACATTGCAGACCCCATGGCTGGGCAGTCCAAGCTTGGGGACATAGGGCCTGCATTTTTTTTGTTTTTTTGGTTTTCTCGAGGTTTTTTGCACTTTTAAAAAAAGAAGAGAAAACCAACACAAAACAAAAAAAACAAAATTGCAGACCCCATGGCTGGGCAGTCCAAGCTTGGGGGCATAGGGCCTGCATGTTTTTTGGTTTTCTCGAGGTTTTTTGCACCTTTCCAGAAAAACCCAAAAAAACCTCGAGAAACCCAACAAAAAGCAACAAACATGCAGACCCTATGGCTGGGCAGTCCAAGCTTGGGGACATAGGGCCTGCATGTTTTTGGTTTTCTCGAGGTTTTTTGCACTTTTCCAGAAACAACCAAAAACACCTTGAGAAACCCAACAAAAAGCAACAAACATGCAGACCCCATGGCTGGGCAGTCCGAGGTTTTTTGCACTTTTCGTGAAAAAACATGAGAACAAACATGCACACCCTATGGCTGGGCAGTCCAAGCTTGGAGACATAGGGCCTGCATTTTGTTTGGTTTTCTCGAGGTTTTTTTCACATTTGGGGACGGGGTCATCTAAAAGGAGACATCTGCCATCACTAGCCTCAAAGCACAGTCAACTGTCCCTCTTTTTCTCTTGTCCCCTTCTACCATCTTATCATGGTCTCCATGGACCCGGGTGAGATGCGCCTCCAGGACGGTGGGTGGTCTATGGACTAAGGCACTCTATCTTCGTGACCTCCCTGCACACGTCTGCGTCGGGCCCATGCCGGGTGGCTTCACACTCCCTGAGATGCCCTTGAGAGATTTGGAGGCCGGCGTCCCCTCCATCAAGCATTTTGTCGATGTGGTCATGGACATCCCAGCTGGTGACATAAACATCGACAACGTCAAGGCAATTTTCCGTGATCAAGCTTGGGACGAGCTGCCGGCTGTGATGAAGCCGATTCGCAGGCCGAGCTTCGACACTGTGACCCCGTATGTCTTGCTGCCTCAGACAGAATTGAGGTGGATTCATCGCCGCATCAATGCCGAGGGTGCCCAAGAGGCTGGTGCAGAAGGCACTGGCCTCACTGGCCCATGATACCACTACAAGCTATGCAGACGGTCTAGTCAGTCAAAGACTTCGAGCCCGAAGTGTGACAAGCGCTGGGGAAGATTGTCCCCCACCTCCAGGGAGCATTCCCTGTGGCTTCTGATATCACAACTAGATCCTGATTTCTTCTTCTGTGAAGGTCAAATGTCCTACAAATCCTAAGACTGATGCTTTCACAACTCCCGCTCTCAAACACAACACCTCCGAGGTGTCCAATGGAGGGTTGGGTCTTCCATTGAAAGCCCCATGAATCTTTGGGTAAGGTTGAAACCCTTCATCCTGAAGAGGGTTCCCTTGTTAACCAACCGCAAGAGGGCTTTCTCGCTTCTGCGATAGGCAGGGAATGAGAAATCGAATGACCCCAAGATAAACCATCCAACTCGTGGTTTCTTTTACGCGAATCCCCTTCCGGTTCATTCCATTGCTCATTCCCTAGAGCACGAACATAAGCATTTGAACATCACCAAGCTACAACTTGTGGTTCCCGATCGCCATCCGGCTCTGCAGGCTAGTTGAATTTAACCCACAACAAGTTTAGCTCCTTTTTTGCAGATCCGGGAACAGCCCAGAGGTTCTCAGAAGGTTCCAAGAACCATTTGTGTGGGGCGGGGGGGGCCTCCAAACTGACATGGAGGCCAAAATGGTCACAGGCGGTCAAAAAGCCGAAAGCTGTGTCACACCTGTTTTCCCCTGGCTTTTCTGCAATTTGTCGCTTGGCAGTGAGCAATGTTTTCACGCATAAATGGTCAAACACCCAATGTTCTTTGCATAGTTGCAGTTCAATTGCCCGAAAATCTGAACCAACAAGCTGCAGCCAACGATCACGGCTGAAATCCTGCTCAATGGGAAGCCGATGCCTCCAAGCAAGCCATGCATGTAGCGAAACACATTAGAGTGAAGCATGGGTTGTGATATAGTCTTGCAATGATTGCCACCCTATGTCCATACATTGAGTCCTCACTATGAAGCAAGCAGGGTCGTTTGCGTGCTCTCGTCACAGAGGCTCTTCTAGCGGACTCATGTTTGCTGGAATGGACATTGGTGACTCTCCAGACGCCTTTTGCCAGCATCTGCAACCAACATTGGCTCATTGGCCATGCATCAGTCTGCGTGCACTGGCATGTGTGTGTTCGTGTGCGTGCAAACCTTTCATAACGACGGTAACATCCTCCCCCCCCACCCCCGTCCCCGACCCACCCTCCTCCCCCACTCACAACTGCAACTCGACACACCACTGCCCAAAAACAGCAAACAGCAAGAAAGCACCAAAAGTACCAGGTTTGTTACTTTGCGCCAAAAAGGGGGTCCCTCAACGAGATTCCCTGAAGCAATGCTTTTTGGTTCCACCGAATGACCAATGTGAAACAACTTAGAAAAATACAGCTTGCCATGGTGGAAGCTTTATCAGGGGCTGTAAAGACTCTTCCGCGGGTGGGGACTTGCTAAGTCGGGGTGCTCAATCTTCACCTTGGTGGTTGTTATTGGACAGGCCCTAACCAGACAGACGGGTTCACTCCACTTGGATCTTGTGTAAGTGGGTTGCACCTGGGTTCATCCATTTCAAAGAGACCTCGTTTCCGAACAGTGCGC